GTAACTACATTCTACAGTGCATAAAATGGACTCAACTTGAAGCAATGAACAAAGCAATAAACTGGGCTACGATCACAGATTACTTAATTTTCTGACTTTCTGACTTGTTCTCTGGACGTTTTTTTTTCCCAAAATCAATTTTGAGCAACTTTGAACGGTATGATTTCAGATCATCACAAAATTGCTGTTATCTTGAGCTCGAAATTAGAAAGATGGTTTAGGAAACGTGACCTCTTTTTGAAAAGTTATGAGGGTTTGAGCAATGCCAATTTGGCTAATATGGGAAAATAAAAGCACGAGTTGTTTCGTCCTACTAACCCGTAAGCGTCTTTTAAATCCGCTCAAAAATCATAGAACCGAGTCAAGATGATTGGTGTAATCAATACGTCTCTAGACGCTAAAAGGCCCATTTTGTTTTGGCTTACAAATTGGGGGTTTATTGATGATTTCCAAGATGCTTAAAGAACATTGAACAGCTGTCGAAATATTCAGGGATTTGTTCTAATTTTCCTCTAATTATGCTCGGATTTTGACCCCCCACTCAAATGTAATTTTTCTAAATTCCCTTTGAATGCAGAAAACAGTGATGCATTTTTCAGGAGTACGGGTTGAAATGAGACAAAACTTTAGAAGCTTAACCCTCATGATTTGCTCTCCTCTTCCCGATTTCTCGTATTCATCCATAGCTCACTTTTTCTAAAAAAAGGAGTTATTGAGCCCAGTTTTTGGAATTCCAAGCTCATCTATCCTGATTTTTTAAAATAAATTAATTAATTTAATTTCTGTTTGCTTATGAAGAACAAACAATCAGTCTAAGCTTTATGCTTTTAATTTTTCCCTTTCATGCTCGCACTGACAAACTGGGGACTGAAATTGGCTAAGATAAGTTTTTTAAGTAGTTGATATGCTGTATAAAAGAAGTCCGCTTATGGTAGCCGATTAGGATACCTGAAATGATTTAGAATGCATTTGAACAAATTTACTTAGGTGGAAAAAAAAATTAATTTTATTTCCCAAAAAATCTACTTAAGTTTGTTATTGCTTTCGTTTCGGAGTTTGAGCAAAGTTTATTTTACTCTAGAAAAGTCTCCATTAGATCTACAGAGAGTAGGAGTCACTCGAGGATTACTTTTGAAAAATATTTTTCAATGAAAGCGTTACAGGAGCAATTTTTTAAGCAAACTAACAGGGAGAAGGACATTCTAATGACGGAGGGATCGAACGATGGGATCGAATGAATTTTTAACCAATTTTGATATTTGAAAATTCATGTATCTGCTTTTTCTGATCGGTCATGTTTATTTTCAGGTCCTCGATTGGTTTGCTTTTTTGGGAGGTTCACAATTTCTTTGACATTTTAAATACTCAATTTTGATTGGCTGGAAGTTGCTTCATCAAGAAGGACGCCACCAAATGAACGTTTTATTGAACGTTTTTTTTTAAGAACAATTTCTTTTTGGTTTAGAAAGTTTTGTTATTAGTTATACATATAGTTCTTTTTTAGGCAAACCATTAACGCAAAAAAAAACAATTGAAAAGCATATTTTAATAATTCCAATATTCTCTGTTGTTTGCCCGCACCGAATCTTAATTCGTAATAATCGGTTATAATGGATTTTCATTGACTAAAATATTGTCTACATAATCGATTATCATGACATGTTTAGACCACGTAATCGATTTTCAATCCATTTTAATCGATTATTTTTGAAAAATTTATAACCATTTTATTCCATTATAGTCGATTATAATCCATTTTTGTTTTCAATATAATGGAATTTTTTTGTACATAAAATCCATGAAAATTCATTAAATTTTGAAAATAATGACTCTAATTTTTGCAACTTTTTGGAAAACTCGAACCAACACGTTCATCCAGGGGCGGCCAATAGGTAGTAATTTTCCAAAGTGCCCAAAATAGCTTTTTTGAGCAGTTCCTCTCGTCCTCCTCAACGTACCCCCCAACCTACGACGTAGCCCCCAACCCAAGACGTACTCCCCAAACCACGACGTACGCCCCTCACGTACCCCCATGATTTTTGTTTATTAAATTCCGTATGAGAATGAGAACTAAAATTTTTGCAATATCGATTTTTTTTTGTATCGAACTTAATTGATTTGAAATCAATTCAAATAAATTATTTTTACAGCTCTGCCACATTATCTATTGCTGAAAAACCTATTGCTATTGCAATCCATAAACATAAGAAAACTGCGTTTTAGTCCGCAAGACTAACCGTCAGACAGTATTTATAGTCAATGCTAATTTTTGGCAACATTCATTTTCAGTCGAGGAACCTAAACGAAGTCAATTAAGCAAAAACTGGTCATTTCTATTTTGCCAACAATTTGAAATTGATTATAAACAGGTTATTGTTTCTTCTCGACACTGCATTTTTTCAAAATTTTCATACAACTGAAGTTTCTTTTAAATCAATACGGTTGTTTCTGGTCACAAAATCTTAAAAAAGGTAACATTATCGGAAATCATCACAAGAAAATATAAGGGATTCCAGAAAAGCACAGTAGATCCAAAACCATATATAGCCACAAAAGCTCCAAATAAATCCCCACAAAAAAATCTCTAAAAAACTCGAAACACAGCGCGCTTTTCAACCTGCCATTTTTGGCTTAAAAAGAGTTTCATTCGTCCCATTTTTAACTACTATTGAAAGGCAAACACAGGTGCACCTAAAAGAATAATTACTTCGAATTTATAGCAAAGGAAGTTTTTATACACACCTCTAACATACTTGTTGAAAATTCACAGAAAAATTTCCTCTTTTAAGATGGATCCTGGCATGAATTAAAGAAAAATAAGACTCTTTTTCGCTTCTTCACACAAAGACTTGTTGCTACGAATAAGAAATAAACAGGAGCAAAGTTTGGAAAAAAGTGAATTGTCAGTTGCCAGAGCAACATATCCGCGGAGGCGGGGGAAGGCATTGGTTGACATCAACTCACCTTCATTCTGTTTATATTCTTAGTAGATCAAATTGATTTCGTAGTGTTTCTGGGTGACTGAACACCCGAATTTTGTGGATTTGTCCATAGTGCTTCAGATTTGCGGAAAAAATTGCACACTTCCTTGTATTAATTCTCTCCTCAATTAAAAATAAGCAGCTCTGGTAAACCCAAATGGCCTGCCTTGTAAGTCCAACTACTCTCCTACTCTCTGTAGAACTGATGGAGATTTTTCTAGAGTGAAAAATTTAGCTCGAATTTTGAAACGAAAGCAATAATAAACCTAAGTAGATTTTTCGGGAAACAAAACTAATTTTTTCTACAAAGGAAAATTCGTTCAAATCCATTCTAAATTATTTTACGTATCCAAATCGGCTACCACAACTAGACTTCTTTTATACAGCATATCAACTGCTTAAAAATCTAATCTTAGACAATTTCAATCCCCAGTTTGTCAGTGCGAGAATGAAGGGGAAAATTAAAAGCATAAAGCTTAGACTGATCGTTTGTTCTTCATAACCAAATAGAAATTAAATTAATTAATTTATTTGAAAAAATTAGGATAGATGAGTTTGGAATTTCGAAAACTGGCTCAGTAACTTCGTTTATTAGAAAAAGTGAGCTATGGTTGGATACGAGAACTCGGGAAGAGGAGAGCAAATCATGAAGGTTAAGCTTCTGAAATTTTGTCTCATTTCAACCCGTGATTCTAAAAAATGCATCACTGACTCCTCATTAAAAGGGCATTTAGGAAAATTACATTTGAGTGGGGGTCAAAATCAATTCAAGTTTCCATAATTAATGGCAATGTTTTTCTAAATGCTTAGCATAAATTTCGATTATTACGCTCCTCAAATAAAAAGAACACTACTGCCTTTGTTAGAGCAAATCCTTGAATATTTCGACAGCTGTTCAATGTTCTTTAAGCAGGTTTGGAAATCAGCAATAAACCCCCAGCTGGTACGCCAAAAACAAAATGAGGCTTTAAAGGTCTAGTGGCGTATTGATTACACCAATCATCTTGACTCGGTTCTATGATTTTTCAGCGTATTAAATAGACGCTTACGGGTTAGTAGGACGAAACAACTCGTGCTTTAATTTTCCCATATTAGCCAAATTGGCATTGCTCAAACCCTCATAACTTTTCAAAAAGAGTTCACGCTTTCAAAAGATGTTAAACAAAAATCTGCAAGACCTATATAAGAGTCGTCACTGCGTTCATTCATCTTAATCAAAATCTTTACTTTTGTTTGCATTTTCATGATTGAAGAGCGTTAAATGGCCACCAGTGAACTTAAAAACAAATTCAAGTTTGGTCCTGATCAAAGATAGAGTATGTTTAAAAAGCTACCTAATTAGAAGTCTTTACTTCGTGCATTGAAGTTTGAAAAAACTGCTTTAGAAAAAAAAAAGAAAAAAACATTGGTTATATAGGGATCGCAAATCCAACAGCACACAAATGAACCTGATTGGTCGAGAAAAAACAAGCCGATCACTTCAGGGGCGGATCTAGGATTTTCTCGAGGGGGGCGGATTTTTAAAAAGTTCGAAAATTTTATCGACCTTTTTTTTTAGGTCGACCAAATTGATTTTCCGAGCTCTGCCAAAGCACCAAAAAGACACTGTTTTGGCCAAATTTTCTGCGCCGCAGGAAAGAAACAAGCCAAAAAAGACGTTTTTAGGCTTTTTTGGAAAATCCCCCTCAAATTTAGCATATATTGCCGCCCAAGGCGCCTTTAGAAAAGTTTTAGGGTCCGTCAGCCAAAAATGGATATCTCAAAATAGTACAAAGGGGAACCCTTTGGGTCGTCAGGGGGTCGAATACCTGAGGAAGGGGGGCATCCGCACCCCCCCCCCCCGTAAATCCTCCCCTGATCAATCCTTGAATATCTTTACTTTTGTTTGCATTTTCATGATTGAAGAGCGTTGACTGGCCACCATTGAACTTAAAAACAAAATCAAGATTGATCCTGATCAAAGGCTGAGATTATATTCAAAAAGCTACCTAATTAGAAGTCTACTTCGTAGAGAAAAAATTTTCCATAAAACATTAATTGATTACATCAGAAAAATAATAAACCTTATCTTTAGAACACTGAAAGTTGAATCAAATTTAAATATTTTGAAGAGACAACCAAAGTTTTTGAGTAGTTTTATAGTTCAGATTTTTGTACTATGGAGATAATATTGCATCATTAAATTGAGCTTCCGCTTTTCTATCCGATAACGTTCCACGTTCCTTCAGCGATTGTAATTGAACCTATATGCACTTGGTGGCGGCGGTGGACCTCTAGATCCCCCTCTGAAGCCTCCCGCAACCCCAGTTCTACCGCCTCTTCCATATCCTCCAATTGGGGGCCTGGGTGATCCGTAACCTCCTCAAAAGAAAAGTTATATTCATTTTAAGTAAAGTAACAATAAACTAAAATAAATAGATCCCGAAAAAACTTTAAATGTGCATAAAAGCATATCCATTTGTTTCATAAGCGATAACCCAAGCTCGAAACAAAATCGAATTTTTAGTTCGATTGCCGTGTTCATCGGAGATCGAATCGAAGACACGGACAATAATTTTTCTAATTTAAATTTCTGAAAACAAGTAGCAAGTTATTTATTTTTTCACGCTGAAAGTATTAGTGGTAGTATACTCATTAAATGAATGTATTTCATGGTGCACAAAATGAAAAAAAAAACTTAATCAGTGAAAAATCAGTTTCCGGTTACATTGTTACCTTGACTTATAGGTACTGAAAATACGGTTTCACTTTCACACAAATTTAAGGCTCGAAAGCAAGTATATAAAACAATTATTAGTCTAATTTAATTTTAAAAAGAGGCCAAAAATTGTACTGGTTCGCTTGCGGAGATTAATCAACAATGATTTGGGTCTTTGCTCTCAGTCTCCACCACTGTTCATCAGACACATGATAAATTTTTCTTGATACGAGTTCTCGAGTTATCATGATTAAGAGAGCAATTGAACAGAAAAAAAACATTTCGATGCTAACAACTTCTTCAACGGTACCTTAGAACAGTTGAAAAAACAAAATCACAACCAAAAAATGAAAATTCAAACAATTCAAAAATGTTTAATAAGGAAACTATTAAGCAAAATCCAACCAGATTAAATCAAGATCTCAGAAAATTTCTGAGGAAAGTAAAAAACTATTGACAATCGCTTACCTCTAGGACCAGGCGGAGGGAATCTCATTCCTATTTCCTGCTTCAGTTCAGGTGGTTCTGGTTTAATCCAGACACTGCCCCCACTCGAGTCTCCGGGTTGAGCCGGTCTAAAGGGTGCCCCTCGGAATGACCCACCAGGTCTGGGAGGGGTGGGGTATCTAGGCGAGCCTCTGAATTGTGAGTTCACTTGACTGTAGCCTTGGGCTCTGGGCGGAAATCTTGGAGCATAACCTGGAAAAAGCGGGGTATTTCTGGTACCTTCATTAATTCATTCATTCCAGCTAATAATTACCTGATTTTTTAGAAAACCATTAAAAAGTACTCATTTTTCGATTGAAACGTTTCATTTTCTATTAGACGCACATCGCGCATTACAAACTACCAGTGCTTTCCAGCGATAAAAAATTATATTTACAATAGTGGCCAAATACATTTAATTACTACACAATTATTGTTAATAAAAAAAAACAAACAACGAGATCAGAGATTCTCCCGTTAAAAATACGAGTTATGTAATAATAAACAAGTATTGCCGGCTGCTGTGCAAACAGCAGCAGATCCCACTAGTTTTAGCTAGTTTTTAATTCCCACTAGTTTTCAATAAATTGAAAAACGAATCACTTTTTAAAAAATGTTTGAGCATATGGGTTGGGCACCGGAAATAAGCTCACCTAAAATTAGCAATGACTACTCGAGTAAAATAACTTAAAACAAAAAATGACTCTTCACTTGAAAAACAATGCCTCTTCTACACAGCGAAATCTTTTGCAGACTTCTTTCATCGACTCAAAAGTGGAAAGGGTTTCAAATTGTTGTGATGAACTTAAGAATCAAAACTGGAAGAAGTGAAGCGTAACTGTTGTGATAAACTTATTACATGGCTTCAGAGAAGAAAAATGACTCAAATACTAAAACTATTGACTCCATTGGTGTAATAAAAGCAAACGCCAATTTCGAGAGTTAAATAATTCTGACGTTAACAACTACCCACATTTACGTTATCGGGATCAAACACCAATAACTCCAATGGCACAGCCCGAAAACAAGAGAACATGCGAAGTAATAAGTCCTTGTGGAGAAACTGATAATATATCACATAAAATCCAAGCTGCAGTAAGAACAGCCAATGCAGAAACTAGCGCCACAAATTAATGAATCTCCCGAAAAAAAATAAAATTGCCTCAATTGAACAAGCCGTCAAAAATACAGTAGCTGGAATAAAAGAGGAAAAAAAAACGTTGTACGAGGTGTACCAGCGAAAAAACAAGTTATTTCAAGACGTTGTCAGATTCAGAAAAAAAAAACTGAAAACTACAATAGAAGCGACAACATACGAATAATAGGCTGCTAATGAATGAAACCAGGGAAAACTACGGCGAAACAATTGATGAAGTGATTGGTATGAGTGAAAAAAAGGAGCCAATGTCACAGTTCAAAATATTTTAACTGCCTACAGGTTACCGACGGGGAACAAAAATTTTCGAGAAAAACCAGTGATCGTGCGCTTCAATAGCAGCATTGCGAAAATTAAAATACTACAAAACAAGGAAAATATGTCTGGGAATGAGCACACAAGTACTATCAAAGTATTCAAGAATCTGAGCCTTCCGCGAATGAAATTCATGCGAATGATTCGGAATGATCACAGAATTGAGTCGAGCTGAAATGAACAAGGAGCCATATTTATTCAACGGAAGAAAGGTTAACGTGCTGATCGAATAAATGGTCTGTATGAAGATTGAGTTTCTAGGATACAGCTATAATGACAAGAACTATTTCCAAAACGGAGCTGTTGCACTGGAACCTAATCAACTACTCGTGAAATCCTTTGTTTCCTCAGTTGAGAGTCGCTTATTCGTTGAACCCTAAATTTGCAAACGTTTTAAAAAAACATTATATGGAAGATCTGTAAGTAAACTCCATGATGAAATGGAAGCATTAATAACCAACTTTGAGTCACCACCTACTATGATATGCCTAAGTAAAACCTGGTTACAATACTATACTGCGCAAAAGTAGAAAGAACGGAGGAGGGATCTTAGTTCACGGTTACTGGCGTGTTAAACATTTCAAAATTTCTAGGAAGAAACTAAGATCGGAAATTAAAAATATAAGAGATACATATTAGTAATTCAAAAATGTTTTGGTGACTCACGACAGGTCTGTAAAATAGTAATTGAAATTATGTGCATTGCAAGTAGCATTAAAAAATCAATGGAATTGCAGATACAAGTGAAACTCTTTTAGATCACTTCATTATTAAAGACTTAAAAGTCTAATCTGCGCAGGTACGAGCTAAATATCCCTTTCTGACCACTCTCCGAACACTTATGAGTTTAACACATCGCACAAAAAAGACTTTACTTATTGTGATACTAGGTTTATGAAGTTGACACTGATAATCGATGCAAATTGCGAATTATTCAGAACCATTAGATGATTGCTTTCAACAGTTTGAATCAAATTAAAATAGTATTAAAGCAAGTATTTTTTTAGATCATCAACTTCGGAGAAAAAAAGCGCCCTGTTCCTGAATCAATAATTTGATTACATATTTGACTGCAAAACGTAACCGGCTAAATAAAGTCAGGTAAAAACAATTAGCCTCGATTGAATGAAAACATTTCAAACTCACTAGGAAGAAACTGAGATCGAAAATGAATTGGTGAATCAAGAAAGGCCTAAAAAAACTAAATGAAATTATGGGCGCTGCATTTAACAATAAAGAAAAAAAACTTTTCAATTAAAAACATAATCGAAGTCATCTCGTCTCATCTAGACTTTGCAAATGAATTTAGATTTTTATCAACTATCGGACTTAACCTGTCCAATAAAAAATTAGGTTCTAAGTCAGAGCAAAACCTGGAGAAAATCAACTTTTATTTGCGTAACACACCAGTAAAAGAACTGGAAATAGATGAAATCTTTACATCCAAGCAGAATAAGACATCCACAGGTTTCATTAATTTTGGCAATGTCATTGTAAGAACTGAAAATTCTGATTGATAAATTGTTGAAATCAGCGTTCTTCCACAGCTCCTTGGTCAAAGCCATAGTTCATCAGCTTTGAAAAGAAGGATCAAAGCTCAGTTTGGGAACTTACCGTTCAATATCCCTTTTCATAAGCTGAAGTAAAAATTTTCAGCGTGCTATGGTTAACAGAGTATACGAATACCTGGATAGTTATTCCCTAGTTTATGTTAAGTTATTTTTTTTCCGTCAATTGCAGTCCAAAAAAATTGAAATGAAGCGATCGGAGAAGAAAAAATCGATAAAGAGAACTGTTTTTCTGGATTTGAAAATGGCGTTCGATCACTTGATCATACAATTCTTTTCAAAAATTTAGACATGCATGGAAAAAGTGAACAGACATTACTATGGTCCAAAAGCTACCTTTAAAATCGTAGCTAACCCAAATAGGAAACTCAATTTTTGTGGCTTGAACTGAACTGCGTTGTGCCAAAGGGTTACATTTTGGGACCCCTAATGTTCCTCAAATATATCAATAACCTAACTAAATTTAGCAATTCGAGAAAAGTTTTTTATGTGCAGATGCTACAAACAACGTGTTTAACAGGCTCAATTGAAATTTTCAATAACTATCTCAAAGCGTTGAATAAGTGGCTAAATGTTAACATATTGTCACTAAAAACGGATAGAACTACGTTAAAACGTATCCTAACTTAATGCTCAAAGATCGCTCTTGTACATCAATAATTTAACTCTAACAAGCGTTTCTTCATGTTGATTCTAAGTTCTCATTCAATAATCACATTAATTTCGTGCAAAACAATATCAGAAAACAATGACCGAAACAAGTAAATACTTTCCAGTTTCAATGAGCACTTCTATTTGCGAGTTAGATTAGAAAAAAGGTTCGTACCAATACACTATGCTGATGACTAGTGTAATCAGTAGCTTATTATCTAGATTTATAACTTTTAAGCGAAGAAGGCATCGTTTAAAACGCATTTGCAGTTAACTGCTAATGATTTTGCCTCCATCTAGCGTTGATTTCAGGGCGCTTTACAGTGTGTTAAACAATTTGCTTTTCATATAGTCTCTGACTATTTGCAAACCCCACTTCGATTTGTTCACTGGTTACTTTTTGGGCTTGTTCCCAACGTCCAGAAAGCCTCCATCCAATTCTTTTAGTGTAAGTGATGCTTTAGAGACGAGGTGCAGTTAGTAGAATTAGTAACCGCAAAGTGAATAAGTCAACCTTTAGTTTTGAACCGAATATGGGGGGATACGACAAGCGAGTTTCTGAAGATTACAAAAACAAAATCTGATTTTTTCTTTCAATTTGCAGCCAATTATGGCAAGTTTAACCCATAAACTGGCTAAACTTCAGGTTTATATCGCCAGGAAATTGTTTCACGTGCCACTAAAATCGTCAGATTTGTTGAGCGATATTTTTATGAAGTCGAAAAGGCAGATGTTATTTATTTATTTTCGCTAATTTTGTTTATCAACAAAGTTATTTAGTTTTGTTCATTTCACTACCATGCTTCCATAATTAATAGGTTTTTCCGAATATTTCTGAGTTTGGGGCATCACCATGCAATCCAGAAGGACTCGTTCGCTGTCCTCTCAGAGTTGCTTAAAATTTTGTGAAACTACTTTGACTAAAATGACTTTTCGTAGCGAGAAATTAATTCTTCTTCTTCTGAAATAAAATTTAGTTAACCCAGTCTGATATTTTGTGTGGTATCTGATTTGCGTGCAAAAAGTTAAAGAAAACCACAAAAGTCCTTCCAACTTTGCAATCTGCACGAAAAGAGGTAGAAAAAGCCTTGAAGAACGTTAAAGAATTCAGGATTCGAACCCATGCATCAGGATTAGTTTGTGCACATTTCTTATCTAATTAAATGCAGGCTTCACTATCTCGCAATGCTTAAGTTTTTTAACGTATTATTTTTGCACGTTTAACGAAAGAATTTTTTCACGATTAAGCTATATCGTATATTGCAAGGGTTGAAAATTTTACTCGAGTTTCCAGTTTGAACTCAGTGTTCGATTCAAAAGTTTAAAAGTAGAAACCTTATGGTGTTATGCTGTGGGAGGGTTTTCGTAGAGGTTGCAAAATGGGCCTCCAATTATGACTGATCCAATCCTCGTAGTTTTCGAGATATGACGTTTTTATGATTGTTTTTCTTAAATCTCAGAAGATTTAGATTTGAAAGAAGTTTGGAAAGAATAACTCGAAATTCCTAGCCCTGCAGTTAGGCGCTAGCAACATACACGTAGAGGCTGCAAATATTACCTCCAACCAAGGATGACTGCTCAAGTCATTACTTTTCGATATATGACGTTTTTATGATTTTGTTTTTTAATTTTCAGAAAAGTTGAATTTAAAACATTCAGAAAGTTTGAAATTCCCAACCCTGTCGTTAAGTACTGTGAAGGTACTTTCAGAATTTTGAAGTTGCAAATCTTGCTTCCAAATGCAACTGCTCAAATTTTCTTAGTTTTACGAGATGTGACCTTTTTTTGTGTTTTTTTTTTCAAATTATTCAAAGAACTTATAAAAATTTTCACAAATTTGAATTCTCATCTCTAGAGTGAGGCTCTGTCAGGGTGTTCCCAGCAGTTGCAACTATTATCATGACTGCTCAAATCCTTTTAGTGTTCGAGATATGACGCTTTTCGTGATTTTCTCTTGTATCAAAAAACTGAAACTTAAAATTTTCGTGGAAGAAAACTTGAAATTTAGTTCTTTCATAAATTTGAAATTCCTAACCCTGTATTTGAGGGCTGGCACAGTATTCTCAGGGGTTACGAATCTTGCCTCCAAATATGACTGCTCAAATCTTTGTAGTTTTAAAAATTTAAATTTGAACTTTCTCAAAATATGAAATTCCCAACGCTGTGGTTGGGTACTGTAGAGTACTCTCAGGGGTTGCAACTCTTGCCTCCAAATTCGACTGCTCAATTGCTTTTAGTTTCCGAGATGTGACGTTTTTTATGTCATTCTAAACTTTTCCAATGAAGTTGGATATAAGAAACGTCACAAACTTGAATTTAAAAAATTGAATAAAAACTTTACTGAATTTGAATTACCAAACCTGTAATTGGGTGATACCAGAGTACACTCAAAGGATGCAAATCTTATTGCCAATATATGCGGTTTTATAAGAGTTGTCAAAAATTGAAGTATCGGAGGTGCGTTACACGCCAGTACTACATAAATGCTGACCTCTACTGGGCTCTCCGTAGCCGCCATAACTTTGATTTGCACCGCCACTGTTGTAACTGCTTTCCATCATAGTAGCCTTGGGAGGCGAAGGCCCGTACCTAAAAGCAATGCAAATCATATTGGTTAGCAGATCAAAGTTTCTTTTCAAAATAATGAGTGGAATATTTAACTTTTAAAATGACTTTTTTTAAAAAATCAATTGGCTTTGAATCAATTGGCTTGATCTTTTTTTAACAGTGCTCCTTCAAGTAATTAGACATATGGGTCAATGTCATTACGGTATTTGCCTTTGGCTGACCCTAGTTAAAGTTACTAGCTGGTTAGGAGTTAAAGGAAAGTCTATTTAAAATTACTTTTTATGTTAGAAAATGCATCGAAAGGCGTCAGCGTGAACAGGTGAACAAATTTTCACAACATTTATAGCATGCAAAATGCCGTGTTTGCAATATCTGAGAAGCTTTATTTTGCTATTTTACGAGGGGGGAGTGGAAAATGTGAAAGAGCCAAGGTACCAAACACTAGCCACAAATAAACCAGAGAACAGATGCTATCCAATTTCCAATGCTGCAGTTTTATTTTCGAGTTAGGTTAGAAAAAAAAGAAGGTTCGTAATAATACACTTAGCTGACGAAGTGTAAACCGAGAAAAAAAATAAGTCACATTAAATCTTAAAATGCCCGATGTTTTTTCAGCCAAAATGTGAGGAAAATCCTCAGATCTCAAAGAAACAATCTCGGATAAAAATTGAGAGACAATTTTTATTCGAGATTGCGTCTGGTACAGTTACGAAGTAAAGCCATTCTAGGGTCATTCGTAGAGCTCGAAAGTTTAGAAACAGCTGGCCTCAAGAATAAAGGTTGAAACAATTTAAAAAAAAACACCCACGTAAAAACAAACTTCTTATACAATCCATGGTTACAAGGATTGCAGCGTTTGATTATCTGTTTCGAAAGCCTAAATTCTACTTACTGATTACAAATTCTACTTACTGTCCATATCCTCCCCCCAATGGCGACTGCATCATCGGCCTTTTAATTGCACCACCCCCACTCGCCCCTCCCCTTTCCAGCAACACACTATCTGCCGTAGACAGACTTCTGATCACGTGTTTCAGAGTGACATCACTGTCTGCCATCTGCAGTGCTCTCTCGGGTTCGCTTGTGAATCGCATGATGAAGTCTTCAATGATCGGGCGAAGGGCGACTACTGAGGCTGCGCTTTTGTGGTCCAGATCCAGATTGATCCTTAAAAAGATGAAGCCTATATCACAGGTTTTCAAGAAGACGCTCGCACCCAATCATTCCAAAACGTAACCAGGATTATTTAGAAGTTGAAAATAGCAGATAGTTCACAACTTCTTTGTGTGATACTCAATTTTTGTCTCAACTGACCTTCATTAAAGAACCTCAATTGTACATCTTAACATAACCTTCGCTTCACGAGTACAGTTAGGAGACCATTTATTTCGGATCAAACAACAAACATAGCCAACTGGCACTTGGAAAACAGTAATGAACGCAAAGAAACTGAAAAAAAACGACTAGTGTTTTCAAAAATCTTCAACTTTCGAAAAAAAAATAGATGACCTTAAAGCTCTTTGAAATTGTAAAACAATTTATGGTGGACGGTTTTATGTTAAAAATAGCTCAATTTGAGAAAACTGGATCAATAGGCAAAACTTTTATTTCGCTGGGAAATCTAATAATTAATTTCCATTTTTGAAATCAGAAGCCGATCACATTTTTCGTGACCTTTACACTGAATTTAAATGCACTGAATTTAAAAAGAAATCACAAGTCAGTAAGCGGCGAAAAAACAAAACTGAGCGTGAACAAATTTTAAGACTTTTTCTTGACAAAAAAGCAAAAAAACCAGCAAGACCTATATAAGAGTACTCACTAGTTCATTTCTCTTAAAAACCAGCAAGACCTATATAAGAGTACTCACTAGTTCATTACTCTAAAAAAAACAAAAAAAATCAGCAAGACCTATATAAGAGTACCCACTACGTTCATTGCTCTTAAAAACTGTGCTGTTAATTTCATTTACAGGATTCGAACCCATGCATCAGGATTAGTTTGTGCACATTTCTTATCTAATTAAATGCAGGCTTCACTATCTCGCAATGCTTAAGTTTTTCAACGTATTATTTTTGCACGTTTAACGAAAGAATTTTTTCACGATTAAGTTATATCGTATATTGCAAGGGTTGAAAATTTTACTCGAGTTTCCAGTTTGAACTCAGTGTTCGATTCAAAAGTTTAAAAGTAGAAACCTTATGGTGTTATGCTGTGGGAGGGTTTTCGTAGAGGTTGCAAAATGGGCCTCCAATTATGACTGATCCAATCCTCGTAGTTTTCGAGATATGACGTTTTTATGATTGTTTTTCTTAAATCTCAGAAGATTTAGATTTGAAAGAAGTTTGGAAAGAATAACTCGAAATTCCTAGCCCTGCAGTTAGGCGCTAGCAACATACACGTAGAGGCTGCAAATATTACCTCCAACCAAGGATGACTGCTCAAGTCATTACTTTTCGATATATGACGTTTTTATGATTTTGTTTTTTAATTTTCAGAAAAGTTGAATTTAAAACATTCAGAAAGTTTGAAATTCCCAACCCTGTCGTTAAGTACTGTGAAGGTACTTTCAGAATTTTGAAGTTGCAAATCTTGCTTCCAAATGCAACTGCTCAAATTTTCTTAGTTTTACGAGATGTGACCTTTTTTTGTGTTTTTTTTTTAAATTATTCAAAGAACTTATAAAAATTTTCACAAATTTGAATTCTCATCTCTAGAGTGAGGCTCTGTCAGGGTGTTCCCAGCAGTTGCAACTATTATCATGACTGCTCAAATCCTTTTAGTGTTCGAGATATGACGCTTTTCGTGATTTTCTCTTGTATCAAAAAACTGAAACTTAAAATTTTCGTGGAAGAAAACTTGAAATTTAGTTCTTTCATAAATTTGAAATTCCTAACCCTGTATTTGAGGGCTGGCACAGTATTCTCAGGGGTTACGAATCTTGCCTCCAAATATGACTGCTCAAATCTTTGTAGTTTTAAAAATTTAAATTTGAACTTTCTCAAAATATGAAATTCCCAACGCTGTGGTTGGGTACTGTAGAGTACTCTCAGGGGTTGCAACTCTTGCCTCCAAATTCGACTGCTCAATTGCTTTTAGTTTCCGTTTTTTATGTCATTCTAAACTTTTCCAATGAAGTTGGATATAAGAAACGTCACAAACTTGAATTTAAAAAATTGAATAAAAACTTTACTGAATTTGAATTACCAAACCTGTAATTGGGTGATACCAGAGTACACTCAAAGGATGCAAATCTTATTGCCAATATATGCGGTTTTATAAGAGTTGTCAAAAATTGAAGTATCGGAGGTGCGTTACACGCCAGTACTACATAAATGCTGACCTCTACTGGGCTCTCCGTAGCCGCCATAACTTTGATTTGCACCGCCACTGTTGTAACTGCTTTCCATCATAGTAGCCTTGGGAGGCGAAGGCCCGTACCTAAAAGCAATGCAAATCATATTGGTTAGCAGATCAAAGTTTCTTTTCAAAATAATGAGTGGAATATTTAACTTTTAAAATGACTTTTTTTAAAAATCAATTGGCTTTGAATCAATTGGCTTGATCTTTTTTCAACAGTGCTCCTTCAAGTAATTAGACATATGGGTCAATGTCATTACGGTATTTGCCTTTGGCTGACCCTAGTTAGAGTTACTAGCTGGTTAGGAGTTAAAGGAAAGTCTATTTAAAATTACTTTTTATGTTAGAAACTGCATCGAAAGGCGTCAGCGTGAACAGATGAACAAATTTTCACAACATTTATAGCATGCAAAATGCCGTGTTAACAATATCTGAGAAGCTTTATTTTGCTATTTTACGAGGGGGGGGGGAGTGGAAAATGTGAAAGAGCCAAGGTACCAAACACTAGCCACAAATAAACCAGAGAACAGATGCTATCCAATTTCCAATGCTGCAGTTTTATTTTCGAGTTAGGTTAGAAAAAAAAGAAGGTTCGTAATAATACACTTAGCTGACGAAGTGTAAACCGAGAAAAAAAATAAGTCACATTAAATCTTAAAATGCCCGATGTTTTTTCAGCCAAAATGTGAGGAAAATCCTCAGATCTCAAAGAAACAATCTCGGATAAAAATTGAGAGACAATTTTTATTCGAGATTGCGTCTGGTACAGTTACGAAGTAAAGCCATTCTAGGGTCATTCGTAGAGCTCGAAAGTTTAGAAACAGCTGGCCTCAAGAATAAAGGTTGAAACAATTTAAAAAAAAACACCCACGTAAAAACAAACTTCTTATACAATCCATGGTTACAAGGATTGCAGCGTTTGATTATCTGTTTCGAAAGCCTAAATTCTACTTACTGATTACAAATTCTACTTACTGTCCATATCCTCCCCCCAATGGCGACTGCATCATCGGCCTTTTAATTGCACCACCCCCACTCGCCCCTCCCCTTTCCAGCAACACACTATCTGCCGTAGACAGACTTCTGATCACGTGTTTCAGAGTGACATCACTGTCTGCCATCTGCAGTGCTCTCTCGGGTTCGCTTGTGAATCGCATGATGAAGTCTTCAATGATCGGGCGAAGGGCGACTACTGAGGCTGCGCTTTTGTGGTCCAGATCCAGATTGATCCTTAAAAAGATGAAGCCTATATCACAGGTTTTCAAGAAGACGCTCGCACCCAATCATTCCAAAACGTAACCAGGATTATTTAGAAGTTGAAAATAGCAGATAGTTCACAACTTCTTTGTGTGATACTCAATTTTTGTCTCAACTGACCTTCATTAAAGAACCTCAATTGTACATCTTAACATAACCTTCGCTTCACGAGTACAGTTAGGAGACCATTTATTTCGGATCAAACAACAAACATAGCCAACTGGCACTTGGAAAACAGTAATGAACGCAAAGAAACTGAAAAAAAACGACTAGTGTTTTCAAAAATCTTCAACTTTCGAAAAAAAAATAGATGACCTTAAAGCTCTTTGAAATTGTAAAACAATTTATGGTGGACGGTTTTATGATAAAAATAGCTCAATTTGAGAAAACTGGATCAATCGGCAAAACTTTTATTTCGCTGGGAAATCTGATAATTAATTTCCATTTTTGAAATCAGAAGCCGATCACATTTTTCGTGACCTTTACACTGAATTTAAATGCACTGAATTTAAAAAGAAATCACAAGTCAGTAAGCGGCGAAAAAACAAAACTGAGCGTGAACAAATTTTAAGACTTTTTCTTGACAAAAAAGCAAAAAAACCAGCAAGACCTATATAAGAGTACTCACTAGTTCATTTCTCTTAAAAAACAGCAAGAACTATATAAGAGTACTCACTAGTTCATTACTCTTAGAAAAAAAAGACAAAAAAAATCAGCAAGACCTATATAAGAGTACTCACTGGTTCATTTCTCTTAAAAAAACAGCAAGACCTATATAAGAGTACTCACTAGTTCATTACTCTTAGAAAAAAAGACAAAAAAAATCAGCAAGACCTATATAAGAGTACTCACTATTTCATTTCTCTTAAAAAAACAGCAAGACCTATATAAGAGTACTCACTAGTTCATTACTCTTAGAAAAAAAGACAAAAAAAATCAGCAAGACCTATATAAGAGTACTCACTAGTTCATTTCTCTTAAAAAAACAGCAAGACCTATATAAGAGTACTCACTAGTTCATTACTCTTAGAAAAAAAGACAAAAAAAATCAGCAAGACCTATATAAGAGTACTCACTAGTTCATTTCTCTTAAAAAAACAGCAATACCTATATAAGAGTACTCACTAGTTCATTACTCTTAGAAAAAAAGACAAAAAAAAATCAGCAAGACCTATATAAGAGTACTCACTAGTTCATTTCTCTTAAAAAAACAGCAAGACCTATATAAGAGTACTCACTAGTTCATTACTCTTAGAAAAAAAGACAAAAAAAATCAGCAAGACCTATATAAGAGTACTCACTAGTTCATTTCTCTTAAAAAAACAGCAATACCTATATAAGAGTACTCACTAGTTCATTACTCTTAGAAAAAAAGACAAAAAAAATCAGCAAGACCTATATAAGAGTACTCACTAGTTCATTTCTCTTAAAAAAACAGCAAGACCTATATAAGAGTACTCACTAGTTCATTACTCTTAGAAAAAAAGACAAAAAAAATCAGCAAGACCTATATAAGAGTACTCACTAGTTCATTTCTCTTAAAAAAACAGCAAGACCTATATAAGAGTACTCACTAGTTCATTACTCTTAGAAAAAAAGACAAAAAAAATCAGCAAGACCTATATAAGAGTACCCACTACGTTCATTGCTCTTAAAAACTGTGCTGTTAATTTCATCTGCAACCACAAATCGGATAAATGTCTTTTTACTATTTTTTTTTAGCTAACCAGCCAGAGGCCTAATCCGAAGGTTAATAAATAAAGGTTAACTAAGCTATGGCTATCTTACAAGAGCTCACCTTGTAAATTGCAGCGCAGGTGCGAATTGAACCCGCTATCATATGATTGCTGGGCACCATCACTACTGATGCGCCACAACGCCATAGAGTATTTACTATCTATGTTTACGTACCAATCGTCCAGACGGACCATTTGCTTCTCAGTTCCATCTTGCGGGTCAATTCTTCTCTCCGAACTCACAGACCGACTTCCGAACAACAACAACTGCAGCGCACTCACCATTGTCATCTGGTGCGCCGTAACAGCCCTTGTTCGCAATTTCTCCCCAAACACGAAAAACGGCGATGGAAATGTCATTCCGTCTTTAGAGTTATTGACCGACGATTTGTGGATCAAGGCTGGTTTCATGTCAAACGTGAGGAGTTTGCGTTTGTCTTTGTGGTAGCACACGTTAGGGTAGAGAGCGCCTACTAGCATTGAGATAAGGACGTCCAGATTTTCGTCAGGGTTGTTGTTGATGAGGAAGGTCGGTTGAAGTAGCTCTAAAACGATCGAATTTGATTTAGTTAAACTGAACTGAAGAGTAAATTGACAACCGGGTGAGAATATTCATATATTCAATTTTTTTGCAATCTAATGGTCGGAGTCTTGGAGCAAAATTGAGCTTAAGAACAATTTTCTTATAATCCTGAGAGTGAGGCAACATTTTTCAGAGCAAATGAATGATTAACAAATGCAACAACTAAGCCATAAATCGAAGTTTTTTTTTGCTATTCAGACCAACTTAGAGCAGCAACCTTATTGGTTTGAAAATTGTTTTCAAACTTTCATTCAACAAACACAGGCCGGATAGATAATTGTGGAATAATCACAGCAACCAGCTATCCGTGTTTACCTTCGTCGAAATCGCAGCTGAGCAGGATGTCTCTGAGTTGTGTCTTGGCCTCATACACCATCCGAAGAGTGGACATGCTCAGCTGTTTCTCACTGCACAAGTCCACCTCACTCCTCTCCCCACGCTCCCTGCACATCAACAGGCGTGTCTCTATCTTCACACATTTTTAAGAAGCAGGGTTTGATTTACAAGAACATTGATTTATAATAATCATTATCAAGTGTTTTCAAATTTATACGTCATTAAAGATCGCTGCATAGGCAGCAATTATATTCAGCCAAGAATTAATGAGCGATATCAATGAGATCATCATGATCCTTTCTGGTCCGTTTTCAATCTTTGAGCGAAAAATAAGTTTATGCACCTATATCCATGAATTCTAACCATCATTTATTTTGATTAAAAGTCTAACTAAGTATGCGGATTTTTATGGAAATTCGATAAAAAATAAAGAAAAAATTCAGATACAGTACATTACACTCTCAATTGATCCAGGAAATCCAACCGGATAAAATTTAACACTAAAGTTTTAAAAGCATCAAAGGAAGCTAGACGAGTTCTGTTAAATATAGAAACTTGATCCATCCGTCCACGAAACCACAGATCAAAATTTACATGACAGGAACTTGCAGAGTTCAAGTTAATTTTCCTTCATTTACACAAATGCATACATATTTACTAACTTTGCTCTGAGCCATATCTGGTATGCCGTAATAAGAGCCACGTGATCACTGCACCTGTTGCCCGACATCCTCTTATGGACAACTTGGAGAAACTTGAACTCTTTCGGAGTCTCAAAGGGTTCCGGGAATGAGACTAGGGCAGCAATGGAACACATGGGATCCCCTACTCCCAGAAGAGTAGCCAGCACGAGCATCTTGCCAATGCGTGGTTCAACCGGAAGTCGAGCTAGGATCCTTCCAAGAGGAGTTAGTTCTTCGTTCTTGTCCAGTGCTTTCATGTCTTAAAATAACTTCCATCTAATTATATTTTGAGGACTTCAGTTCAAATCAATTGCGTCGCAAAACGAATAATGAACCAAAGCTGCAAATTCCTAGACGGTATGGCTATACTTTAAGAACAAAAAATTAGACACTACTTTCTGATCTCAAACTTTATAGAGACACGAGAGTTAAAAACTCCAGTTAACAAAATTCTTGGAATATTATCCAAAGTGCTGAATCGATAAAATACCTTTCAAAGTGACCTCTGCTTCTATGACTGCATCCAGAGGAGGTGGTTCCAGAGCTTTTCCTAAGAATTGCTGGATTGTTCCCAGTTTGAGGAGCTTGATGCTGAGTGCTATCTCGTGCAGAGGAGTCAAGAAGATCTCGGCAGTACTGTGCTGAGGCAGTCTGAAATTGTTTATAAAAGTCAAAACTGAACAATATCATGCAGAAAAGAAAGTCATTAGGATTCAAACAATAGGATTCAAGATTATAGAATTGGTAAAAGACAATTTCAAAGATCGATCAAAATAAAATTAACCTTTGATTATCATAACTTTTGCTCAAGCATTTTTTGCATTGAATCTATTCCTTGAGCATTGATGGAAGCGTGTCGGCCCTCTGATCCAATTGTGGCTCAGACTACCATTGATGCCATTTCACGTTTAAAAAAAAAACAAATCTACTTGAAACTCAACCACCCTAAGCCCCACCACAACCACAACTGGAACTCACTTGTCGAATCTGCTTCTACTGCATAGGTGAAAAGCGAACCCGGCCCTCACTCTGCCAGCCCTGCCCCTTCTCTGCTCCAGATTAGTCTTGCTGGCCCATACTGTGGTGTAGCTGGTCATGTTGTTGTGGGCTGTGAACAACTTCACTTTGCTCTTGCAGCTGTCAATCACGAACACCACGTCGTTGATCGTAATCGAAGTCTCCGCTATGTTGGTAGACAGGATAACCTTTAACAAGATTCAAGGTACAACAATAGTGCCTTATATTGGCAATTTGGCATAGTTGCTTGTTATGCTGAAGACGGTATTACCAACCCTTCCCTCTCGAAAGTTGAGTTCAAAATATATATATAGGAAGCCTTAAAGCTCTTTGAATTTCTACAACAAATTATGATTGACCTTTGTCGAGACCTTAACAAATATGCTGTTCGACAGTGGAATTTGTCTTCCTTTTTTACAAAGGTAACAAACTGAACTCAAAAAGAAATCAAATGCCAGGCCGCAGAAAAGTAAATTTGAGCCTTGAATAAATTTTAAGATTTTTCCCGAAAAACAAAACAATAATAATCATAATCATCACGACCTATAAAAGAGTCTGAACTACGTGCATACAAAAATTAAAACTTAAAATAGCATTCCAAAACTATGTATTTCAAAAAAATTAAATTCGCTTAGAGAAAATGAGCTTTTTCTCTTATTACTAATATATCGTCAGATAGCATAAAGATTTACAATCAGATTATTTTATCAAGTAACCAAAAAAGGATAGACACGACCTCACAAGGTGTCCGCTAAAGATCTACCCCAAGCAATGTCTGCATTTGTTTATTCATACCTTAGTGCATCCCGGCGGCACTGGATCGAATATCTTCCTTTGATCTTCCCTCGGCACCTGACTGTGTAGCGGCAACACTCTAAACTCCCTGGATCCAAACCGCGGATGAGACGTCAGATGTTTAAACAGTGAGAAAATCAGATTCCAGCCCGGTAGGAAAATGAGAATAGCTCCATGGACTTCAAGTGACGCGCAGTATTCGATCAGACGCTCAATTAGTTCAAAACTTAACTCCTTCTCGTTCATCTCGGCCAGTGCTCGCTTCGTTTCGGGTCTGTATTCGTCACTTACTACTAGATTCAGGTTTTGCTAAAAAAAAATTCGATCATTTTCGGACAATGCTTTTGAGTTGCAACAATTCGTAGAACTGCTTAAAAATTGAGAAGTTGACAACACTAGTACTGATTAACCGGACACAACGAATAACATTGGAAAATTCAAACGGATTTTTCTCGAATTGGGTTAAGAAGAAACAAAAAATGAACAGAACAAAGGTTGCTTAAAATTTATAAGGTAGATTTGTCTAAATTCTAACCAAAAATTTACCTTAAAAATGAGTCATTTTGACTTTTTAGTTATTCAAGAATTGCGCTGAAACTAACGAGATAATTGACGAGAAAATTATATCAAAAAAAGTCTCTTACACAGCCTAACAAACTTCTAGAAAGATAAAATTTCCAAAAATCTGTATAAGAGAATAAGTTTTTTGGTTGATAGCCGAAAAAGATCATTTTACAATATAAAATCAAAATCTTTCCTTAAAACAAATTCCAAAGGTTTTATGCAAATTTCTGGAAGTTTCACTTTTCTAGAACTTTGTTGAGCTGTGTACAGGGTTGGCAGAAAAAAAACAGGCGTTTTTTTTCACGTGTTTTTTTTTGTGTTTTTTTTCACACATGCCTGCGTAGAAATTTGGAAGAATTTACTTGGTAAATTTCGTGATATTGGACCCGAAGCCAGAGAGTGGCTAGAAAAGTGTGAAACCCGCTACGATTCATTCTGATCTGATCTTTTTTTTCTCTCGAGAATATAGAAAAAAAACAGTGTTTTAAACGTTTTTTTTGTTTTAAACGTTTTTTTTTCTAAAAAAAACACTTTTTTGCCAACCCTGGCTGTGTAAGAGGCTTCTTTGCATATAAATTTCTCTTTGTTTAACTTGGTAGTTTCAGCGTAAGTCTTGATTAATCAAAAAAGCTAAAATTACCCATTTTAGGCTAAAACTTTAGTTGAGAATTTCGAAAAATGTACCATATTCATTCTGGTGAACCTTTAAGCGACCTTTCTTATGTTCATTTTTCTCTCATCTTAACCCAATTTGGTTAAAAAAAGGCGTTCGAAATTCCAATACTTGTTCGTTTTGTCCGGACAATTTAACTCAGCACAGTAAAATCATTCATCGAAGTCTTCAGTTTTCGCTTGCGCGAGCTTCTGAAAACCAAAAGTTCCAGGTTGAAGCTTGATGATTAGATATCACTTAAAAAATTCTAAATCGAACTGCCCTTATAAAAAACTTACACACAGGCAACGCTGCAGGTCGCAATTCCAAGGAAAAATGGCAAAAAAAAGTTGGGAAAGCTGAAAGCTTTCAAAAAGAACCATTTGCACTTTTAATATTAGGTGGCGTAATTTGAATTCTTTTCAGCAAACGAACTTGATTTGAACTTGAAATGGAATGAAAAATCAAACCACATAATTTAAGCGGGAAAAACTTCGAACAAATCTTCTGAAAAACCACATGACCTAAATAAGTGTCTTCACTTCGCTCTTGAAACTTGATAACATGCATGTTTCATGCATACATTCAAGATAAAAAAATCAAGAATGTTTGAGCTTCAAGGCCTTCAAAAGATTTATCTGAAAAATCAGACGACTTAAAAAGTCTCTAAACTTCGCTCTTAACACTGGATAATGTGCATTTATCATCCATGCTTTTAGCAGAAAAAAATCAAAGATGTTCCTGAAAAACCACACGACTTACACAAGTATCTTTACTTCACTCTTGACACTTGATAACATGCATGCTTTCAACAGCAAAAAACCAAGCATGTTTGAGCTTCAAGACCTTCAAAAAATTTATCTGAAAAATCAGACGACTTAAAAAGTCTCTAAACTTCGCTCTTAACACTGGATAATGTGCATGTATCATCCATGCTTTTAACAGAAAAAAATCAAAGATGTTCCTGAAAAACCACACGACCTACACAAGTATCTTTACTTCGCTCTTGACACTTGATAACATGCATGTATCATGCATACATTCAAGATAAAAAAATCAAGAATGTTTGAGCTTCAAGGCCTTCAAAAGATTTATCTGAAAAATCAGACGACTTAAAAAGTCTCTAAACTTCGCTCTTGACACTGGATAATCTGCATGTATCATCCATGCTTTTAGCAGAAAAAAAATCAAAGATGTTCCTGAAAAACCACACGACTTACACAAGTATCTTTACTTCACTCTTGACACTTGATAACATGCATGCTTTCAACAGCAAAAAACCAAGCATGTTTGAGCTTCAAGACCTTCAAAAAATTTATCTGAAAAATCAGACGACTTAAAAAGTCTCTAAACTTCGCTCTTAACACTGGATAATGTGCATGTATCATCCATGCTTTTAACAGAAAAAAATCAAAGATGTTCCTGAAAAACCACACGACCTACACAAGTATCTTTACTTCGCTCTTGACACTTGATAACATGCATGTATCATGCATGCTTTCAACAGCAAAAAATCAAGAATTTTTGAGCTTCAAGACCTTCAAAAAATTTATCTGAAAAATCAGACGACTTAAAAAGTCTCTAAACTTCGCTCTTAACACTGGATAATGTGCATGTATCATCCATGCTTTTAACAGAAAAAAAATCAAAGATGTTCCTGAAAAACAACACGACCTACACAAGTATCTTTACTTCGCTCTTGACACTTGATAACATGCATGTATCATGCATACAATCAAGATAAAAAAATCAAGAAGGTTTGAGCTTCAAGACCTTCAAAAAATTTATCTGAAAAATCAGACGACTTAAAAAGTCTCTAAACTTCGCTCTTGACACTGGATAATGTGCATGTATCATCCATGCTTTTAACAGAAAAAAAATCAAAGATATTCCTGAAAAACCACACGACCTACACAAGTATCACTACTTCGCTCTTGACACTTGATAACATGCATGTATCATGCATTCTTTCAACAGCAAAAAATCAATTAGGTTTGAGCGTATTAACTTCAAACATTTTTCCTGAAAATCACACGAGCTAAAAAAAAAGTGTCTTCACTTCGGCCTTGACACTTGATAACATGCATGTATCAAGCATGCTTTTAACAGCAAAAAAGGTAGAAAAAAAACAAAAGTCAAATCACGAGAAAAAGTTAGGCGCTTACAACTTTTCTGAAAAAAAAACGTCAGAAATAAAGAATAAGCGTAGCGGACTACGAGATTCATATACATGCATCTAATCCTCTCGCAAATGAAATTCAGCGCAAAGTTGAGCACAAATGTGTGCAATTTGCCTGGTAAAAAGGAACTCGCATTCTAACACAAGCGCTTGCTCTAGTAAAAATCAACGCGGATACTTCAGGTAAAAACAACTCCGCTATCTTGCCTCTTCGTCGTCGTCAAAACTAGCTGCCTCATCGTCGTCTCTGTTGTTCTTATTATTCTTGCCCCCCTTCCTCACACTGGGAGGGGGAGTGAAGTTTAGTATCTCCACGCAGTCTTCTAGGAAGTACTCTTGCACTGGAAAAGTCCGGCCGTGAACCTGCAACAAAACGAACACCATTTTGAGTGTAGAATTTTGCAACACTAGTCTTTTACGGATTTTATTCAGGCCAAAATGTGCTCAAAAAGACAAAAAGTTATAATCCATGCATTTTAAATTACGTTTTCTAACTTTGATTCAAGTTTTCAGCACAAGTCTTTGTCTACTTCAGTTTTTGAACACTCTAAAATGGCCTTTTTTGAAAAAAAAAACGTGTTAAATTGAAAACTAAACCAGTTAAAACAAGAATAATTATACAAATGATTTAGAACTGTTTTTTTTTTCAGCTGAGCAGTCAGAGGCCTAACGCGAAGGTAATTATTTGAGCAGTACTAAGCAATGACTTAAAATCAGCAACATATTAGTAATGGCTATCGCCATCTTTTACACTCACTTCAATAACTGGACAGTTTGCGAAGTAGTTTGAGAAGAGAGAAGTGTCAATTGTAGCCGACATGAGTATGATCTTGAGGTCAGGGAAGGTCATGCACATGTCCCTCAGTGCTATCAGGATAAAGTCCGAATTGATGTCTCGCTCGTGGATCTCGTCCACTATCACGTGACTCACTCCTGAAACAAAACACTGAAATCCACATTTGTTTTTTTTTTGGCAATTTCGTCAATGGAGAGTCGAATCATCCTCTATAAATGCACGAAAAGGAGCTGAAACAAAAATATCGCCAAAAAATGGAAAAGAATGAAAATAGCCAACAACAAACAGTAAGAAAAGAGCCAATGCACGCCAGAAAACAGAACAAAATACTGACGTTTTTTTTAAAAAAGTATTTAGCTTCGAACTTCAAAGAAAAAAAATAGATGACCCTTAAGTTTTTTGATTTTCTAAAACAATTTATGATTTTGATAAACTAAGCCAATTTGAGAAAACTGAATCAATGACTTAATTTTTTATTCCGGTGCGAAATCTGAAAATTAAAATCCACTTTCGTAACTAGATGTCGATCACGTTCTTCATGACCTTAAGTTTCACTGTTCGATAGTAGAAACTCTACTATCGAACAGCGAAACTAAAGGTCATGAAAAACGTAATCAACTTCTAGTTTCGAAAGTGGATTTTAATTTTCAGATTTCGCAGCGGAACAAATGTTGATCCAGTTTTCTCAAATTGCGTTAATTTTTTTATCAAAATAGTGTCAATAATAAATTGTTGTAAAAAATCAAAAAAACTTTAAGGTCAATTATTTTTTCTAGCAAAGCAAATGAACTGAATTTAATTTAAAAAAACATCGTCCCGACCTATATATGAGACTGAACTACGTTTCATCGACTCTTTAAAAAACAAGGAAACCAAAATCAACCAAAAAAAATTTTAAACATTTTTCAAAGAAACCGTGTATCAAAAAATCATCGTGTTAAAGTTCGTTGAATTTCAAGAACTGTTTCAAATTTATCAGATTTAGAGAAAACTGGATCAATAAGTAACTTTTCATTCCGCTGGGAATTCAGAACTAAGCCAACTGAGTTGGAAAGGGTCAATACAAAAAGCAAATATTTTTTTGGAAAAAATTCAACGTCCGAATTTCAAATTTAAAAACAAATAGTCTTTCAGCTGCTTGAAGTTCAAGAACAATCTATGATTGACTTTTGCGCTAAAATTAAATGAATTTGAAAAAACTGGATTGATAGGTAATTTTTTTATTTCTCTGGGAAATCTGAAAATTAAAATTAAATCGCAATTTCCAAACAAGAATTCTATCACTTTTTTGTACCTTTTACAATTTCGCTGTTCAATAGTCGAGTTTCTCTTCCTTATAACAAAGGAAATGAACTGAACTTAAAAAGAAATGAAAAAACTGGATTTAAATGTAATTTTTTTTATTTCGCTGGGAAATCTGAAAATTAAAATTATATCGCAATTTCCAAACTAGAATTCGATCACAATTTTGTGCCCTTTACATTTCCGCTGTTCAATAGTCACGTTCGTCATCCTTATAACAAAGGAAATTAACTGAATTTTAAAAGAAATCAAATGTCAAACTGCGCAAAATCACATTCAGATAATCAAAAGAAAGCTGATCCTTGAAAAAAGAGTCGGGCTACGGGAACAAAGCCGGCAAAACTAACACAGAGGCAAAACTTCGCTTCGCAAATACTAGCGAGAACATACAAAAAGCAGCTCTAAAAACGCAAGAAGAAAAAAACAAAACTACGCTTCGAATTAGCAAAAATTAGGCTACATCTAGGATTCGATCTTCAACCTAATGCAATCAAGAGAATTTGAGTTTCACCCAGTAGCAACTCAGCCACGCATGGTTAACCACCGACAAACACTAGTCACGAATAATGCAGCTTCATACGCTAATTAACTGCCAATGCACCAAATACAAGTAGACACAATTTTGCAAGTAATAATTTGGAACACAAAAAACCTTAAGGCATCCACACCAACTTTGCATGTAATAAATCGCAAAGCAAAAAGCCACATTTATAAATTATGCATTTTAAAACATTGCGAGATATATTGACTTAGAAACTTTCTGAAATCGAGTTTTTATTATTGTTATGTTGTTTGAAACAAATAGCTTTTTTCGGTTTGTTTGATGAATTAAAAATGCATTAACTGTGTTGAATCATTACTATTCGAATGTCAAAGCACATGCCAGCAAAAAGCTGACAGAGTTGGTTAAAAGTGGCACCACTATTCACAACTTTGGTTAGAAAAAAAGATGGTTCTTAATAATACACTAGCTGCGGCTAGTGTAATCAGATGGACGATAGTCGGAAAAAGCAGATAATTTCTAGTTAGCAAAAAAAAAAACAAGTCCCAGCCGGATTCAAACCAGAAGCCTTTGTCTTCTTCAGCAGGTTTGTTAACTCTACGCCAGATGCGCTGGATGGTTGATTGAAATTGAATTTATTATGAAGCAAGTTGAATCACGTAAAATTTTCACTAGCGAAGTCTTAAGAAAAAAGTTATTCACAGGAAAAAAGTCCAGTATCCGGTTACAACACCCTTGTTAATGCCAAATGTAACGAAGCGGATAAATAGCTCATGATTTTTCCTAAGTAGAAAACAATAACGCACCTCGAAGGCATAACTTGAGCAAAAAGGTCAGTATTTCGCCAGGAAAAAATGAACTCGTCACATACCGAGCGTTGCTTGCTTAAATGTGTTTTGCAAATCAAACTGACGAATTTCTTTGTGATACCTATTTGAGCTTTTAAGACTTTCATCGAGCTTTCTTTGAGATACTCAAAACGGCGAGGGGTACCAAAACAACAATTTTATTTTTTTCTTTGTTTAAACATCCAAAGACAGAGAATTGTTCAAAATATAGTCTTTTCATCAAACCAGATCAAGAACAGTTTTGAACTGTGCTCACCTCTCAGCCCAGACTCCAGTTTTCTCAGAAGTGTTCCCACAGTGCAGAACAGAATAGCTCCTTGTGGTCTGGGCAGCACTGTCTCGAATCGGACACTGTAGCCTGTGCTGTCCCCAAGGGACTCGCATCTCTCATTCGCTATACGTTCGGCCACCGATACTGCGCTGATACGACGGGGCTAAATCGTCAAAAATAAAGCGTCAAAAAGCTCTGCTTAGATTGCAATAACACAAACAGGAGAATAATTTCATGCAAGAGGAGCCTATGATTTCGATTGGATGTTTTATTTATGCCGAAACAAATTCAACCCATTTGACTAACTGAAAGAGTTTTAACGACCAGTTAATCTCCAGCTTTTAACGACCAGTTAACCTCCAGTGCATGTAAAACGCTAACCAGGAACTGCTTGGTTAATGTTTGTACATCAAATGAAGTAAATATCTATTTCAGCTGATCATCAAAATTTGTTACCTGTGTTACGATGATGTTGCATTCTGCTCCTCGGTTACTGGAGACGAACTCTTCCAAGATGAATTGCGGAATCTAAACCAGAGAGCATGATTAAACTCACATTCGAACTTTTTCTTTACTACATTTGAAACAAATTAGATACTTTTTCCATGAAATTAAGTACTGAACTAAACCAGAAAAAGAAAATCTTTCAGAATCAGGGAAAATTTACGGGACTGTTACATGACACTATAACCGCTTAACTACACATTCATAAGTACGGCATTTAAAGAACTGATTGACAGCTCAAGTGCATATTTTGTCAGCCCACATGCTACTAAGGGAAGAGATCGTTCACTTGGGTAAAAACGTTTTCTAACCGATCAATTTAGCAGTATGGGCCAATTTGCACTCTAAATTAACCAAGTGAACGATCGGCCTCCTAAATTATGCGATGAAAATAAAAAGTAAACCAATACCAATATACACACAGAAGCGAAGCATTAAGAAAAAGCATTATAAAGTGCATTAAGAAAAAGTAAGATAATCCTTGAATTAGTAATATTTCGGGTTCATCTAGGATTCGATCTGCGACCTAAAGAATATGCTTCTCAAACACTAACCATTCAGCCATGGACGCTTAATTAACCACAAACACTAGCCACCAATAAAACAGATAACAGATAAGTGAACCAAATAAGTGAACACTTTCATTTGCGAGTTAGGTTGGAAAAAAAGTAGGTGCGTACTACACTAACGCTTGCAAAATAACACCCGCAAACTAGCAAACTAACGCTCGCAAGTCTAATTATGCTAAAATGGGATTGGTTGAAAAACAATGCTTTTACCGAAGTGAACGATCTCCTCCCTTTATTGAATTAGTGAGGAGATTGTTCACTCTATCTGGAAAGTGTCCACATGGGCCCAATATTAACCTGAGTAGTCTTTCCGCATCCAGTTTCTCCCTTGACAAGAATGACCGAGTTCTGTCTGACCATATCGAGCAAGTGAGTTCTGAACTCGAACACAGGTAGTTCACTCCTAGATCTCTGCATCTCAGCGAACGCAGATTGTGACTGCTTCGACTGTTCGGCTTGCAGAAGATGGTCTGATATTTGAGCTGCAGATTTCTGAACATATTTATTAGTACACCCAAAAATTGTGCTTTTGAACAAAGTACACCCTAAACACTCATTTGATTTACAGTTCTACAATCACATTTGGAGCCAAAAATTGGCCAAGGAAATAAAGCTGCTAAACATAGCCAACTAACAGTTGGAAAAGAGTAATGAACACAACGAAACTGAAAAATAACTGACTTGTTTTTTCAAGAGCCTTCAACTTTTGAATTTAGAAAAAAAGTAGATGGCCTTAAAGCTCTTTGACTTTGTAGAAAAATTTATGATGAACATTTTTTATTTAAAATAATCCAATTTGAGAAAACTGGCTCAATAGGCAAAACTTTTATTTCGCTGGGAAATCTGATAATTAATTTCCATTTTCGAAATCAGAAGCCGATCACGTTATTCGTGACCTTTACACTTTTGCTGTTCGATAGTGGAGTTTGCCTTCCTTTTAACAATGGAAATGCACTGAACTTAAAAAAAAATCACAAGTCAGTAAGCAGCGAAAAAACAAAACTGAGCGTGAACAGATTTTAGCTTTTTCCTGAAAAAAAGAAACAAAACAAATCAGCAAGACCTATATAAGAGTACTAATAATATTCGTAATAATAATATTTATCTTTTCGCAATTTATCAGACAGACCAATTTCAAAACATTGCAATTTTACACTATGGTTGGGTATAAACTTAAAAAACGCTAAAAAGTAACTTACAAAAGCCATCGGACCGTCGTCAATATTGCATGATATCCACGGATTCCAGTCAGGCGCTGGAGGAGACCAGCTAATCACGGCTCCCGGAGTCTGATAGGGTGAGGTGAACCTATCCAGGACATCATCTGGGACAACCAGAGACACTGGCTTATTACACTCAGATGGAGGATCGCTTGGCTTGATGCCGTAGCCTTCGAGTAGAGACTCGATTTGAGCAACAGTTTCTGGTTTGATGTTCACTTTTTGAAGTGGCAGCTAAAGCAACATACGCGTTAATGAAATAATAGAAAAAAAATTGTGATTTTTCAAAACAAGGTTTTATCTTAAGCTGCGAGAAAATTCAGCACACGAAGTCCACAAAAAAAGAATCATAATTGGAGCAAACTAACTTTTCACCACATCTTGACTCAATTAAAAATTGAAAAAAACTCATCTTCATATCATGAGATATAGAACTTTTAAATGAATTTTTTTCCATGAGTTTAATGACGTTTTCCCTGTGAAGCAAAGGTACGATGTTCTTCAGAATAAGGTGAAACAATTCAAAGTGAGAATTTATTTGGACGATGACTGACCGGCTCCGAGTCCTTCTTCTTGGCCAGTGTTCCAGTGAATGCCTCCAGGACTCCTAGATGGTACAGTTGTCTCACAATAGAAAGAGAACAGTTCACTGCAGCCACTTTCTTATTCGATCCATGCTCCTTGCCGGTTATATCTGGAAACAGTTCAGGTTGCTGCCATCGGCATAAAAAAATCTCACTCGTACTTACTTTCAAAATAGACCAAAATCATGTATTTTACTTTTAAATTGTTCAAGATTTTGGATCGGTTTTCAAGTAACAAAAAACGAAGTTTAATAGGTAGTTTTAAATGTATATTTTATGGTTTTATTTCAAGTTGCACATTATCAATCTAAAAACTTTAACAACTAACCAAAAAATTAATATACATGTACTTATTTACCTTTGCAGTTTCTATCTCTATAACTTTGAAATCGTCAAAAAACTATCCGGGATAAAAAAACTGAACTTTCATTTTTGAAAGTTCAACTGCAGAATCTGCTTTTATTATTGAATATAGCAAAATAATATTCTCTTACGTTTTCGAAGTTGCGGCACGTAGACAGTCATCTCGGCAATGAAACTCCTAAAGACAAGAATAGTAACCAAATTAGGAGAGCAAGTGAAACAGTTCCATAGCAACAAGGAAAAAGCTTAGTACAGAGCATTCTAGTATGGCGACACAATTTTTACAATTTTCCCCTCACTGATTAGAACAAAACCGGGATTGTCTGCTTGCTGGGCGCTCACCAATTGAAACATAGGAAAACAATTGGGATAATATTTCAGCATCCGATGCTTTAATATTGATTTCTCGCTGAGTACAAATGGGGTGAAATTGCAACAAATTGGTTGATTTCAATCAAAACTTCCTAAATTGTAATCAAATTACCTTGACTATTTTTCCTCAAAAAATGTACCTAATAGGACTTCCTTGTATTTCATCAATGCATACTTACTGAACTCATAACTCTTTTCGCTTTAGATGTCTGACGGGAAGACTCGCTCTGAAACACCACAGAAACTCCATGTATCTGCCATTTTGCGGAGAAAACTATCACTTCAACACTATTTAGGGCAATTTACCGATATTTGAATTGTTTTAGCATTCATTAAAACCAGCACCACTTCAGCTATATGATTTTGTTTATTCATCAAGCATGTTCTCAGACCTTAAAAATTATTATTGAACTGATTATTCATCTTCTGATAATTTTCCCTTTGATAATTGCAGAGCTTAGTTTAAATTGAAAACCTCCCCGACTATTCATCCACTAGTCGTTCAAGAAGTTTTCAACTTTACAGACCGAATTATTTGTGGCAGATACAAGTTTCTGTGGCGCTTCGTCATCCCATCAAAGATCGAGCGACGAAAGAAAAACGCCAAACTGAATCGGGCTCGTTCCAAGGTACACAAAAAAGACCTCGATTTAATTATTCATTTAATTTATCACTATCAATTTTGTTGAAAAGAACACATTATACTTTCAAAAAGCGTTCCCCATTCACTAGCAGTTTCATATTTCACTTACCCAGCTACTTCATTTTCATCTAAATCGCTACAGTTTTTCATTTAACCTATCTGTGTAAGAATTTTTTTTTCTACTTAATTATGTTCTTAATTTATTCAGCCCATTGGCTCAAAGTTGCAACCTTTATTGCAAAAAACGAAATCTCCAGCTCAAACAGCAAGCTATCGCATGAATAGTCAACCCTGAAATAGTTCAGCGATTCAGAAACCTCTTTGCCCAAGAACAGCGAAAGTTTGCATCAATGACTTCTCTCATCTAAAACAATACGGTAGTGGGAGCGGTTCGCTTAAAAAGAATTTCGGTTTCGCTCAGTTTTTGTCAATTTCGGTTCGATTCTTTTTGAAGAAGAATATTTAAGAGCAGAAAAATGAACAGCTTAGAACCTTATACAGAAAATTACAAGATTTCATGAAGAAACACAAGTTTAAGACTTTCGGTCGAAATAGTATCTCGTCCTTGTCTTCGTATTTACTCCAGTGCTCCAGACTCGCTCACTTGCAGTTGCTGCCCCAAACAGATCTTAGCGACCTCCCCAATTCTCGGTAAATGTTTCGCGGTTCGGTTTTTCAAAAAAAAATTCGGTTCGGTTTTTCATTATTTCGATTCGGTTCAATCGGTTCTGTTTTCTCAACTCTACACTACGGTAATCGTTCGTAAAAAGAGACGAGCAGTAAGATTGTAGCGATGCAATCACAATTTAGAACTAGGTTATTATAGAAAAAGCAGAAACCCATTTCACAAGCATAACTGCATATTACGGATCCGTGTTAGAAATTAAATTTCTAGAATAAAATTTTAAACTGTTACGGCGCTGTGCATTTTTCCGAAAAATTTTAGGGTCAGGGATTCGACCCCCTGGGGGGAGGGATTCGACCTCCTGCCAACCCAAAGGGTCCTGGGTCCCCCTTTTTACTATTTTGAGATATCTATTTTTGGCTGACTGACCCTAAAAATTTTCTTAAGTTGCCTTGGGAGCCAAATTTAAATAATTTTGAGGTGTAAGCGCTCGTCGAAAAGCACGCGTCGAAAAATTTATTCAAAAAGTGCTTATAAACCCCCTTTTTGGCCTTTTTTTCAAAAACTCTCCATTTTCGCATTTTTCCGAGTTGATTTAAGGCTCTGGATATCAGCCTTGGTTCGTAGTTTTATCGATCCAAATTTGTTGTATGTATGTTTTTTTTAATTAGGAGGATAGGGTATGACCGAAAAGACCCCAGCCTTGTAATAACTTTTTTCTAGTAAGTTTGCATTTGTAAGTAAAATCACTATTTACAGCACCCCCTGATGCGCAACTTGGGGTCATCTCTAGAAAAAAAAGAGGAAATATCACAAGGGAAATTTAAGAATCCAGTACTTGGATATACTTTTATTACTTCCAAAAAAATACTAACTTTGTGTTTTGAAAACTTTCGCATTCCAATCGAAAGGCAAAAAACATATCACCTTGAACAAATGATCGACACTTCTTTGGAACAGAGGCGAATCCAAGCTTTGCACCACCTGCGATACAATGCAAATATAGCATTACAAGCTAGCGAATAGAAAATAACATGGAATAAACTAAGTCAAATATTGAAAAAATTGAAACTTTTTTCGAAACAGATGATAATCAATTGTAGAAAAAAATTGGGACAGTAAGCCAAAATAAGTGGATACACGCCCATTCGATCAAAAACAAGAAAAGCCATAAGAAGCTGTCAATTTTTTGTGACCGATCAAGTTTCAAATTTTATTTTCAAACGACTTGAATTATTTTCAAAACTAAACATCAATTTTGTTATTCAAACAACATTAACAAAAATGACTAAGCCCATAAAGAAGTTGAAACCATTTAGGCCAAAGAAACCTATTGAGCAAAAAACATTAACATAGCCAACAGACAATTGGAAGAGAGTCAATGAACGCAAGCAAACAAAATTGACTTTCGAATTTCAAAGATAAAACTAGATGCCCTTAAAGCTACTTAAATTTCTAGATCGCTTTATAATTGACGTTTTGATAAAATTAACCCAATTTAAGAGAACTGGATCAAAATGTAAAATTTAAGACTTTCCGGAAAAAAAGATTGTTTACCGCTCAATTAAAATCCTGATTTGGGAACTAAGCCGATAAAACTTGGGGCCCAGCTGAAAGCTGGAGAGACCTGTTTGATTATTTTAATATTGATTATTTTAGAATTGTTTTAAAATTTCAGGTTTCTCAAGTCGATAGCGCCCTTCCTACGCAAAAAAAGTGAAAGAGAAGCTTATGCCTTCATTGGTAACACTTTGGTAAAAAGTTTTCATGAGGGAACTTTTCAAGTCCATAGGTGTTTCCCTAGACAATAAGGGCCCAGCTGGAAGCTGGAGAGACCTGTTTGGTTATTTCAGAAAAAACGTTATACAAATTTTTGATGAAATCGAATTAGCAAAAGCGAGAAAACGTAAGCATAGCGGATTCCATTGTCTAAAAAATACACACAATAAGTATATTGAATCTTTGTTCCATTGCCAAAAAATTTTTAAAAAACTTTTCCTAAGTGTACAGCTCTTCCCCGAGACAAATTAAGGACCAGCCGCTTGGGCAGGGGAGTTTCCTACAACCTGGTCTATCGATTAAACCCTTAATCCCAAATCTGGATGGGTAGTTTTTGAAGAAATCGAAAAAGTTTGAAAAAATGGCCTAAAAACCGAAAAATTGACTATTCCTAAGTGTATAGCTCTTCCCCGAGACAAATTAGGGACGAGCCGTTTGTGTAGGGGGGGGGGTTCCTACAACCTGGTCTATCGATTAAACCCTTAATCCCAAATCTGGACGGGTAGTTTTTGAGGAAATCGGAAAGATTTGAAAAAAGGCCAAAAAAGTGACTTTCCCTAAGTCTATAGCTCTTCCCCTAGGCAAGTTAAGGACCAGCCGCTTGTGCGGGGAGTTTCCTACAACCTGGTCTATCGATTAAACCCTTAATTCCAAATCTGGATGGGTAGTTTTTAAGGAAATCGAAAATTTCCGAAAAAATAGGCAAAAAAATCAAAAAAGTGACTTTTCCTAAGTCTATAGCTCTTCCCCTAAGCAAATTAGTGACCAGCCGCTTGTGCATGGGGGTTCCTACAACCTGGTCTATCCATTAAACCCTTAATCCCAAATCTGGACGGGTAGTTTTTGAGGAAATCGGAAAGATTTGAAAAAAGGCCAAAAAAGTCAAAAAAAGTGACTTTTCCAAAGTCTATAGCTCTTCCCCTAGGCAAGTTAAGGACCAGCCGCTTGTGCGGGGGAGTTTCCTACAACCTGGTCTATCGATTAAACCCTTAATTCCAAATCTGGATTGGTAGTTTTTGAGGAAATCGATAATTTCCGAAAAAATAGGCAAAAAAATCAAAAAAGTGACTTTTCCTAAGTCTATAGCTCTTCCCCTAGGCAAGTTAAGGACCAGCCGCTTGGGCATGGGAGTTTCCTACAACCTGGTCTATCGATTAAACTCTTAATCCCAAATCTGGACGGGTAGTTTTTGAGGAAATAGAAAATTTCTGAAAAAATGGGCAAAAAGTGAAAAAAGTACCGAGTTGTGAAGCTTTTCTAAGACCGTAGGGGGTGGGGTAGGGTAAAAATTGCCCTAAATTTCATGCAGGCAGGTAGGTGAAACGCTACTGAATCCATTGGTACCACTTTTATGAGAATCTGACGGGTAGTTTTTTGGGAAAGCGAATTTTTCGAAAAAGCGTCTCAAAAAAAAAAAATAAAAAAAAAAAAAAACAAAAAAACCAGATCTCATCTGAAAAAAAAAAGTTTTCATAATACCTGTTTAATAAATCAAACAGGAACATACGCAAACAAATGAAAGTCTAACAACTCAATTTTCCCTAAAAAAATTTCATACATTAAAAAAATAACGAGGTCAGGCTTGGACTCCAGTAACAGATCTTAGGGTTCAAACGCAACCACATTACCTCCGGACTAAATTGAATTAAGCAATTTCAATTTTCTATAAACTTGCAAGAAAAATTATTTGAAGGAAAATTTTTTTTTGATGGTATATCTAAATATTAAAATGCACTTTTGAACCTAGAAGTGGTCCACGTTTTTCGCGACTAATACACTTTTGCTGTTAGAAAGCGAACTTTCCTTCCTTTAAACAAAGGAAAAGAAGTGAACTTAAAAAGAAATCATAACTTTATCCGCATGAAATCAAAAATTTGACCGAACAAACTCAAAAACTTTTTTCTGAAAAAATTTACACAGGCGAAGGTGCGCTTCCCAAACACAAGCGAGGAAAATGCAAAATAGAGCTCTAAGCAGGCAAAACAAAGTCAAATAAGGCAAAAGGAAAGACTTTTTTGCTGAGATTAGGAGTATCACGTTCTCACATCTACTCCACGATTGCTTCGAATTTCACTAACACTAGCCACCAAAAGAGCAGCTACACTTTCTATCAAATTGCAATTACAAGTAGTAAAAATTCGACCAAAATAACTATTTCAAATTCCTGGATCTGAATCTCCGACATCTTGATTTGGAGTCCCACGACCTGGCATTTGCGCAACGGTTGCTTGGAACTAAAATGCTGAAAGCGCCTGTTTTAATATTTCGAATCAAATTATGCTGATACGGATATGCATAATTTTCAAAAAAAAATGGACTTCTTTGCTTAAGTAGGTGATTAGCCGCTTGTTTAAAGGGAAAAACTACTACTATCTCTTTCAAGTAAATTCTTCCTCTCAGATTTGGCTGAGTAGTTTTCGAAAAAAGTGAAGAATCCAAACAATGATCAAAAATTCAAAATTTGACATTTCTTAAATCCAAAAATTTTCACTAATAAAACATGGGAGTAGCTTCGTATGCAGGGAAGGTTTCTACACCCTAAACTTTAGACTGAACCCTTAAACTCAGATATATCTAGTAATTTTTGAGAAAGTGATGAAAAAAAAATTCCAAAAAAAACTGGCAATATTTCAAAAATTGGACCTTTTCTAATGCCATATTTTTTTTCAAAACGTCAGGCATAAACTCTTGTGCAGAGGAGAGTCGCAAAACTTGTTTTATGGCTCTAAGTTAAACCCCTGACCTCCAATTTCACAGGGTAGTTTTGGAGATAAATAAAAAAAAGATTAAGAATTAACAAAAAATGGTTATGTTTGAGGCCATAACTTTTTTCTACTAATTTTAGGGAATAGCCGCTTGAGAAGGGAAAATCCCCATAATTTGTTCTTTTGATTAAACATTTCATCTCAGACTCGAGCGGTTATTATTTGAGAAAATGAAAAAATTAAAAACAATTAGGTCAAAATGCCCATTTTTTTGAACATCACTACTGTAAGTTTCGAAAGCGTCGCAAAAAACAACAAAATCCATCGAATCGCATACATTTTTATAAAACCTTTTCTTTCAAACAGGACCTAACACCAGCCAAAAACAATGCAACAACATATGCTATTAAATTGCCTATGCATAAAATAAGCTTAAATATGATTAAATTGAAATATACCTAAAGTGCCACCAAATGAGCACTTTTATCTGCGACTTTAATTGGAAAAAAATTCTTTGTAATAATACACTTCGCTTTGCCAGTTTCACAGTGTTCATTGGCACTTAATAACATAGCCAACAGACAGTTGAAAAAGAATCACTGAACGCAAAGAAACCGAATATACAGACCTGAATTTTGAAAAAACTTAAATTTGGAGTGTTAAAGAAAGAAAACTCATGCCCCTCAAGCTCTCTGAATTTCTAAATTAATTTGGGAAAGGCACTCTTTTGATAAATTAACCCAAATTGAGAAAACTGGATCATTAGGTTAATTTTTAATTCCGCTGTGAAATCTGAAAAATGAAATCCATTTTTTAAGCTTAAGTCGACCAAGTTTTTTTCGTGACCTTTACACTTTTCTTGTTCGATAGTGGAGTTTGCCTTCGTTTTAACAAAGAAAATGAACTGCATTTAAAACAAAATCCAAAGTCAATCAAATTCATAGACTCTTAACACATTGCGAGTATAACCATTTCCCAAATTATAAATTAAATATCACGATTAAGGCAAAGTTGCTAAAGAAATAAGCCTACCAATTCTTTAGATTACACATAATTACTTCTAAGTTAATCCGTTTCTTTCAGAACTGTTGACCAAACAAAAACCAAAAATGGTATCACTATTGATTCTGCTATTAACCGCTATTGGGACTTTCTCAATTTTTCTATACTACCTGGCGTGATCTGGTCCCATTGAGGAGTAAGCGAAGTCGCACTTGTGTTGCTTAGTGGTCTGCAACCACTGGTGTAATTTGGGCTTGGCATTGTCATACGTCCATCCTCCGTGGATACGCGCATTCAAGTCAATCGATTCACTCTGTCAAGTAATTCACCATTTCTGGGTGCATTTTTTGTAAATTTTTATAATAAAATACATCAAACTATCAAAATATAATATAAACTTATTATGACAATTAAAAGAATTGTGCTTGAAACGCGCGCTTAGTTATGCTTAAAAGCTCTAATGTTTCGATTTTTCATAACTTGACCAAAATAGGACGTTAAATTTTGTTCAAGTTCAACTCACACTTTCAACGTCAGCCTTCTGCTGCAGTATCAGTCTAGGGTCAATTGGCCGATGTCCATCCACGCCTACGTATGCATTCATGTCTGGCCTGAACTGGTTCGGAGGAAAAGGTGGACCACCCATATCTCCCCTGGCCTGAGCTGGTGCACCGGGAGTTGGCATGATTGGAGGGGGAGGCTGCAGGTGGGCTTGTGCTGTTTCAAGTTCAGCCTCCAGCTTAAATAATGTGCGTATTTAAAGTCAGTATCAATCAGGTCAAGCAAAGTAGACATCAACTATCGAAAAATAACTGCAGTATCTCATTGTGTTATGATTTTTTCATCACATTGTTTTTCGATAGATGTACATTAATTATTCAGGCAACAAAACACATTTTTTTTTGCTTTTTTCAATAGTAATTAAAAGTTTTCTAACCGAATCTGAAAAAAAGAAGCGAAATACACTTCAATCAGGTGTAAAAACAGGTATATTTTAGAAACTTTGTTCGACAAAACGGATCATGTTAACTATTCCTCCCCCCATGGTACCTTGTAAAGGATTTCACCCCTATAAAAACACATTTCATTTATGCTCAACTGGATTGGTTTTGTATTTCTAAGAAATTTGTTGTGTCGCATTCCTATTGGTTGACGTTGTTTTCATTTCGCAATTTGTTCTGGTTGACGTTACTTCAATTCGCATTCCTATTGGTTGACGTTATTTCAATAAATATCATCGATACCTTGTTAACTATTCCCTCCCCCTATTTCAATGGTGGGGGGGGGGGGGGTAGTTAACATGATCCGACAAAACTAATGGCCGCAACTGAGAAAAAATGACCTTTCACTACTGTGAACTGACCTCTGAACATAAAAATGAAAACAATGACAAGAAACTCTTGAAGCTGGCGAATACAGTGCATTTAAAATTGATATGCAATCTTAGGGAGTAACTCCTTCATCTTTGATGTTAACTAATTTTCATAACACAGAGGCGGAGCTTTGCACCATTTGCGATTAAACACAAACATAAAAAACATAAATTTTTATGTTTGTTTTTTCTTGAAATCACAAAAAAAATCATCAATACTTGTCGAACATGAATTTTGGCCCTCGAAACAACGTAATATAAATTCATTATGCCACAAAACAAACCGAAACCGTTTAATCGAAAAAAAAATTATGAAAAAGTACAATTAATAAAAATCAGACTTCGTAAAATGACAAGTTACAAACTTTCAACATCAACTTCAGAATCAAAAGAAAATCCATGCTTAAGAAAAAAAAGCCGAAAAAGCAGTAACAAAAAAAAATTTCGTTTTAAAAAAAAACGTGAAATGAACCGACGGAAACTAGGCCGAAAATCACGAATCCGAAAAAAATAGCTTGGACCATTTTTTTCAATACAATTATTTGAGAAAAAACTAAGACCGGAAACGAACTTCAACCATTTACTACCTAAATGCAGGAAGTTTTCTTTGAATTTCCAAGAATTGAAACTGTCTGAAACTTACCATTCCAACACATTTGACCATCCTGTCTTAAGTTATTTACGGAAGAAAAGTCTAGCACCCGATTGCAATACCGTTGCTTATCGCAAGGGTAATAATCAAAATAAAAATAAACAAAATCACAATTACTGCAAAAACCCAACGAATGAAATAGCTGCGATATTTCCCCATCATTCATGTTAGAAGACTAATTATCGGCCGAGTAACTACCAATTTCTTCGCCCTGTAAAAACATATATATTTTATCATGACTCCATCTGGCAAACAACCACACTTCGCAACAACACATGCAACAGCCTTCAAAATCAAATACAACTACGCCTAAAATGTTACATAGGTGCGAGGCACAGATTCGCATCACTTTCGATACAACACGAACATAAAAAACCATAAGAGGTCGAAAATTGTTTGAAAAACATTGAAGAAAAAGGTTTAGCAAAATTTTCGTGTCTCGATAAAAAGTTTATTCTTGGCAATCATTCGAATATCAAATTAGCAACGGAACAAAACTTACAAGCGGGACCATCGCCGACATCTTTGAGCAGTCATCAGTTGAGATGAAAAAAGATTTTAAAATAAAAGCTTGAAGTCCACCTTGAAACTTCCATGAAAAACATTTGCATTTATGATGAAAATTGCTAACAGCAGACGAAAAAGACGTGATTTGACAACTAAGCCGGCAAAACTTCGCATACAAACAAAACTTAGCATACAAACAAGTACCGAAAAAAAGCAAGCGCCTGGCACAAGTGAGATTTTGAAGAAAAGTTGTTTCGGAAAAAAAGACTAGTTCCCGATTACAAGACACTTGCTCTCGCACATGTAAACACTAATTTGAAAAGCCTAACAATTTTTGAGGCTACTGAATGAGATTTGCTCAAAGACCGTGAGCAAAAAAAAGGAAAAGTTTAATATTTATCCTGTATCCAGTCCCTGATTAGGATAGGCCGATAAAAAGTCTCAACCTCCCTTAAACAACATCTAATGGGCCTTGACAAATTAGTTTCTGCTGAAAATTCAATAACACTGAATATGAAAACAAGTCACATAATTTTTCAAAAAAAACCTGATAATCCCCTTGAGCTAAATCTGGGAAATTTGGCTTGAGATTACAAAAACTTTAAAAAAAACTTGAAGTTGAAACAAGAATGTTCAGTCCTAACTTTCGAAGCTGATTGTGATTGGCGGTGTTCTTCTTCAGGAGTTTCAGGGCGAATTTTGCGACAAAACCTCCGTTGCGTAGAGCTTTACCAAAAGATCCTCATCATTCGATCATTTCCACCCCGCCAGTTGCCTGAGTGACCAGGATGGTTTCGTCGAATGACCGTTTGAGCTCGTTATTCTCTTCATTTGCTTCGAGAATTGTTGGTTGTGTTGGATTACAAACTTCATTTGTCTGTAACCAAGAGGGTCCTGACCACTAAAGTAGCAAACTTTACACTTTAGCTACTGCTACTGGTCGAGTTGTATGATCGGCTGGATTTTGATGAGTCGAAACGTTTTTCCACTTGTCATCTGGTAGCATTTGTTGAACTTTGACAATGCGGTTGGCCACAAAAGTAGAATACTTGCTTGGAGTTGATCTGATCTAAGCAAGTGATATTGATACACTCACGCCGACATCTACCACCAATTGCAAAGTTTTGATTGACTTCAAGACACATTTCAGGAGTTAACAGCCCAGACTTATTGAGCTCCAGTCTTGGACTGCAAACAGTCGTCCTTGGTGCAAGTCATGACTGGGTAGCTAGCAATGAAATGTGGGTTCCTGCGTCTTAAATGTTCTGCATAGATAGCTGCTCCATAAGCCTTATGGAACCTAAGGAAACAATGGCTTATGGAACCTTAGGAAAATAAGCACACTGGCTGAGCCTACTTTAGAAACTCAAGCTCTATCAGCCATGGAGAAGGTTTAACGAGCTCAAAATAATTGTCTGCGAGTTCTGAACCGGCAAGTTTCTCAAGTCAGCGACCTTTGTGCTAAACTCAATCGTAACCAAAACGAGTTGAGGGCTAAAACAACCGAGATTGAGCATTGTTTGGCTCAATCCTCAATTGCTGATCACGAGCCGCTTGGAGCTATCGCTGATGATGCAGAGTACGATCAATTATTATATCAATGTCAGGAAACACAGAAGGCTCTTCGACAAGCCGCAAAGAGATTGAAAGCCGCATCAAGTCAGCCTATCAACCCTTTTGCAACAACGGAGATCGAACCAACAAAGATCACACCAAGACGGCCGCAGATCAATTTCCCTAACTTCAAGTGGCGATTTCATTGCCTGGCTAAGCTTCATCGATCAGTTTCGATCAACTGTTCATAACAATGACAAGCAGTCACCGGTTCAGAAATTGATTTATTTCGCGCAATGCTTCTAAACTCATGAACCTGGATACCACAGAAAGCAACTTCGAGGTAGCACTTCAAATGCTAGAGCAGAGATACAAAAATGATCGTAGAATCCTTCGGAAGCTCTTGTCAAGAATTCATGGTATTCTTCGACAACAGAGTCAGATATTTAGGGGTGGTTCAATGATCTCATTTCAGACACCATAAACCTGGGCATGAGTAGCAGATATTCTTAACAGAAAAGCACCAATCTTACAAAAATGACTTCTCTTTACCACAGCGTAAAGTTCAAACCTGCAAAGACAGACACCCAATTTGGCAATGTGAGAAATACAGATCTATAACAACATCAGAACAAAACAATTTTTTGACCAGTGTTAGGATGTGCTTCAAATTTGTGTCTGCCAGTCACGGCATCCAAGAATGTCCTTGAACATCACTGAGCAAGACATATCAAAAGAAGCATCACACAACTTCATGACAATTCTAGCCAGCCCAGTCTGACATTCAGAGCGACAATTGATGCCATTCAAGTCATTCGAACTGGAACCATCACAATTCTTCCAGCAGCAAAAGTCAAAGTTCGATCTCAGAACAGCCGAGTTCCTCACTTGAGGGCGCTCGTTGATAATTGTGCTCAGACGAACGTCATCACCCTACAATACCAGACACCGGATTGGTAGCAAACCAACAGAAGCTCCAGATCCCAATTGATGCCCTTCAGAGCGACAATTGATGCCCTTCAAGTCATTCGAACTGGAACCATCACAATTCTTCCAGCAGCAAAAGTCAAAGTTCGATCTCAGAACAGCCGAGTTCCTCACTTGAGGGCGCTCGTTGATAATTGTGCTCAGACGAACGTCATCACCCTACAATACCAGACACCGGATTGGTAGCAAACCAACAGAAGCTCCAGATCTCATAATTGGATTAACCAGAAAGACGCTATGTCTACCCATCGCCGAATGAATCTCAAATTTCTACCAAAGTCTGGTAAGAATTTCAAAGTTCATTGTGTGGTGCATAAACTTTAACGTTTTTTCAACAGAAGATGTTGAATTTATTTAACTCATGGCTTAAAAAAGGTGTCTAGGAATGTAAGATTCGATACCGGCAAAACTGCAGATATGCTGTTTTGACAAAAAAAATCAATTGGCGAGTATGATGTATCCGACCTAGTGGGAGTATCAAAACTATTTGATTTCATTTATTTGGTTAGATCTTGGTTTCGAATATCTGCATAAGATCAGCAAAAAAACAAAAACTCTCAACTTAATTCATCTAGAAGCGAAGCTGATCTTCGCAAACAATGGCGAGAACAAAACAAGCAGTACTATAGTGAAATAGGAAAAAGTAGAAATAAGCCTCGAATTGATAAATGTTCTGCTGTTTCGGATTCGAACCTGAGATCAGGATATTTAAAGTCTCAAGCCCCTATCTCTCAGCAGCCTTACAATCGATAAACACTAGCCACAAAGAGAGCAAAAATAGATGTTATGAAATTTCCAATGCTATAAATTGTGATCATAGCAACAGTGGCAACAAATGAGCACTTTTATTTGCGAGTTAAGTTGGTAAAAGAGTCATACTTTTACACTACACAAGCAAGCTTGCAAGTGTAATTAAGAAGTCGATGATAACAAGCGGTTATTAAGCAGCCAATCGTTGGGTAGACGAACGTAGGGCCAAAAAAATCCCTCTTCCAAAGCACAAACGGATTGAATACATTTCCTTCTAGCGAACGACGTAATATGACACAACATAAAAGTGCTGCACTTCGCAAATAAAAGCAAGAAATTGACCAGGAGCTCTAATGAAAAGCTCAAAAAATGAGAAAAAAACTAATAAGAATCTGCAATGTGCCAGCATCGAAACCCCGATCTCGAGATAAAGAGTCAGAGGTCCTAGCATCAGCACCATTGTCACTTGACAATCGTCAAACACTAGACACTAATGAAAACAGGTCTAATAACAAAGTGCAATGCAATCAGAAAAAAAAGATAAATGGCTATTGCTGCAAAAGTGCCCTTTACCAAATGAGCACTTCTTTTTTTGCTGTTTAGGTTGAAAAAACTTCAGCGTTCGAACTTCAAAGTAAAAAATATCAAGCCTTAAAGCTCTTTGAATTTCAAGAACATTTTTGCACACTTTTTTGATAAAACCAACTCATTGAGAAAACTGAATCATTAGGTAAAATTTTTTATTCCGTTGGGGAATCTGAAAATTAAAACTCACTTTCGAAGTTGAAGGCGGTCTCATTTTCTTAACCTTTATTATTTTGTTGTTCGATAATGGAACTTGCTTTCCTTTTACCAAAGGAAATGAACTAAGCTTAAAAAGAAACCAAAAACCGAACCGCAAAAAAATCAAACTTGAGCCAGGTGAAACTTAAAACTTTTCCTGAAAAAAAAATACAACAACATATATAACGTTCACTATATAAAGTCTCCACTACGTCCATCAACTCTTTAAAAAAACTGGCTCCCGTCGGGAATTAAGTAGAGACGCACACCTCACGTGCTACCCTTGTTATCAAAGTAAATTACAGAAAAATTAAAACAGTCCATCATATCCATACAATGTTTTCAGCTTGTTGACAACAAGAAACAGAATAATTTTTTTCTCCATCAGTTACAAACAGCATCAGCATATAACAAATATACAGTTTGTTATCTCCACCTCAGAATAGATTTATTGTGTTTTTTGTTTGTTTTCTCTTTTCTTCATTTGACGTGTTTGGTGCTTTTTTGAAGCTCAATAATTTTGAGTTTTAAGATGCTGATGATGAGCGATAGCTCGAACGTACTCCTAATTCAACATTGATCAACGTTGTTTTCAAATATACAATTACTAGAAATTGAAAACGTGCCAACATTGAGATAGACAACGGACTGGATAGATTACTGGATAGACAAAGGGCACAGAGATTGTCCACATAGAGTACCCAATAAAGCATATCAATTAAAATACTTCAAGATAATTTTTTTAGATTAATTATTAAAATTTCTTTTAGTTATTATTAAAAGTTTCTCGAAAAATACAACGATTTGAGATATCAAATTTTCAGCCCTGATTTGGGAAAAATCAGCAAGCATATTTCAGAAAAGGGAATTAAAAAAATTGGCAAAACTTACATTGAACTCGGGCACTTCCTGCTGTTGTATTTTCCCAGCCCTGACACAATAATTGAGAAAATCTCTTGCAGCATGGGTCTGAGCATCCTTCTTACTAGTCGAGTTGCCAACTGCCACGTAGGAAAATCCAGGGACACGAAGCTAAATCGAAGAAAATTTAACTATTTAACACATTTTCAGTGAGAAATTTCAAAATCCTAATAACGCCAATGGCTGATGTTTACCTCGCACATGAATCTAGCCCTTCCACTTTTGCTCTTCATTTGTTGTCGAACATCATATGTTGGAGACAACTTCTGCTTACTCAACCACGTGTTCAGGAACGCTTTGACGTTACTGTTGTCACCCATTTCACACTGAAACTCGGATACAAATTTGACAGAGGCAAAGCTGCTGTAACATTCGTCTACTGCAGTCACACATGAGGCTTAAGAAAAATAGGCCCTATAACCATTGGCTCAAGAGTCAGGGACACTATCTCTTGTGTTTTTCTACCTCAAATCAGTCGGAGCCAATTCGGTTCGTTTGCGACATGAGACTACGACCCGTTACAGCTTAAAGGCTACTATTAAAATATCCCCCACTCTAGAATTAGGAACGTCCCCATACTTAGGTCTCTAGATACCCAAAATACATGAACGCCGTTAAAAACCGGGTCGGAACAATCCGTTAAGTTACTTTTTATTTAGACAGTGGAACTTTGATCCATTTCAGATGGATCAACCTAAAACTCGCCTTACCTCAACATAACAATTATAAAACACACTCTAGAAATTTAAATTGGTACTCACATTGTAGCACGCTCAAGAATTGGGAGTAATTAAGTCGGTAAGCAACTCAAGAATTAAATAGTGTAACTAAATGAGTTTAATGTTTGTCAGTTTCAACAACAGGAATAAGTTTGTACTCTAGAATGCAGTTTTATGTGGACCATTGGGACACTCAAGCTGTCCACCTTTCCACCGAAGGTTCACTCTGGTCCAGTTCGAATAATCGTCCTTTCTCAAGTCTGTGTTCTATTCTTTTGTTTTCGGGATAAGACAGCTCTACTCTTTTATTATTGTCTCGGAAATTGCGAATGGCAATTTCCTAGTGATTTATCTTGCAACTTTCCCGCGGTTGTCACTCGATTGTTCTGATTTTTCTTTTTTGACTTTCAGTTATCGCGAGAAAACCGTGCATGACAGGCTCCATTCGAATTTTTGAAAAATTAAACTTCACTCCAAAATCAAGTGCTTTTTGCTTCTCTCAAGGTCAAACTTCCAAATATGACCGACTGGCACATACTCCCCGGACTCGAGATCGATGTCCTCATCGCGTGCTGTCTTCTGCCAGTGAGTCCCCGAAAACCGAGTGTTGCTCAAGGTACAGTGCCAGTGGTCATTTACAGAAGCTTGCAGCAGACTTAAGCTTATCTACACCCCAAAATTCACGGCCATGTAAAATTTTCACACTAGCGCTAAACAGCAATCAAAACCTGCACACACCTGCACCCTTGAATTCTCGCTTTTTAAGCCAATCATTTGAAATTTCTTTTATCCCATTCAATCAGGAAATTGTCATGCAGCATTTTCATTTATATAGTAAATATAGTATATTAATAACAATATTTGATTCGTTAAAATTCCTTTTTCGTGAATCCAGGTTTCACCCGGATCCACACTCAAGCCCCCTTTCCTTCTCAAGACTCAAGATCCATTCGAACCATCCACTCATCTCGCACGCTTCGCCTTGGAGGTGCACCCTGAAGTACTAGATACGGCAAACTGTCCCAACAGTTCTTCTTCATCATCGGAGCTAATCACGATCTCCTCCCAAGCCTTCAGCTGTTCATAGGATCGCATCCATTTTCTTTGCTCCTGCTACCTCTTTACCTGGTTGGGTAGTGCCTTCACCCTAGATTCCCGGTTCAAACAAAAGGAGTTGTGCAGGCTCAAGCTCACGTTCTTCGCCAGGTCCTCCTCTAGTATCGATTCCCTCGCTTTGGTATTGTCTCTAGACATCTTACCCACTCTCTTCCATCCTGTCGTGATCGCATTTCGGTGGGTCAACAGGGGTCTCTTGAAAGCTTCCGGCCCAATCTCGGCCTGGAACTGTCGATACTCCTTTTGATGCTTCCTCATGTGATCTTTCGTTGTCATGTACAACCAAGACGTCAGCGTCGCCCGAAACCATGGAAAGTACCTCAAACGGCTCCATACGTGTCTGACTTCCGTTGGTATTGCGAATACTTTGCACGCAGTCTCAAACAACTCGAGTCTCCTGCTGTAGTCTATCGCGTATATTGACTCAGCCGTTGGCGTCGTTGCTTCCCGATACTTCGTTATATTCTCTTCTATCCATCTCAGAGCCAACATCGTACTCACTACTAAGAGCGTCACCTTCTGCCGGTGATCCGGTAGTCCGATCGACCGAATTTCTTCCACATCCCACACCAGGCAAAGGTTCTTGTGATCTGGATACCACACCGTTTGTGCCAAACAGTGGCATGGGCATTCTCCATGGGTGATCTCAATGCTCCTGAGGTTACGCTCCCCCGAGGCTTCCAAGAGAGGCTCAAGCTCTATCATTTTTATGCATCGTGTCGCTATCTTCCATGTTTGGAGCACCTCCCCCAGGTTTTCCAATCACGTTTTGTCTCTCGTGATCGCTTGTGTTATCACTCTCCAACTTCAAAAGTTCTTCTCCCCAGATTTCACTCAAGTCATCTCTCAATGCTTTTGGTACTGTCCTTCTGATTTTTCTCAACAGCTTGTGCGAGTGATGCGATATCCGAGCCAACCTCACGCACTTGGGTACTGAGAAGGCCTTGTCCACCAGTACTCTTTGGCTGGATGCTTCCACCATTGCTATGTGCAGTGGGTAGTGGCTTCCGCACAGGTTGGCCATCATTGACCCTATCAAGGATTTTGCGTTCAATGGCAGGCCATAAGCTTCGCTCATGGGAAACCCCATTTCCGCCTCGAGACCAACCTTCCAGCTCCGGATGTGTTTTTGAGTCACCTGCAACACCCCAGGCCATGATTCTACGCTCAACGCCGTCACTAAATGGTGTTCAGACTCTAGCCTCTCCAGTGACTGCAGACTACACATTCTCGAGAAGAATCCGAGAGCTGTCGCTATATTCACTGTAGTTCTCGCGTAACACTCCGCAACTATTTGCACTTCACTTTTCTCCCTTTCCGTGATGTCTTCAAACCAAGTGACCAGGTCTTCTTTTTGAAAGGACAGTATCCTGACACATGACCGTCCATCGCAGGTGTGCTCTCCGTTCCCACACGTCGAATTCAGACAGCTACCCGGCTCCATCTTCTTTGCTGACCCGAGCTTGCTCGTCTTTTCGCCTGACTCCTGTATCTGAGGTGAGATTAGCTTGTGCAACACACTCAACTTTGCCAGATCTTCATCTTCCGTTGGTGCTAACCTCACTCGCTCGGTGGTTTCCTCGATCAGACTCGCCTGGGGATGTGGACATCAGGAGGGTCTTAGTAGCTTCCATACCACCCCCAAGTTCGTGATTAACAAGCCATTTACATCGCCCATGTTCACTTCAACTCTCTTGTTCGAGCGCGGTGTGCTTACCACCTCTGGTGTTTTCTCAAGAATCAGGCCCAGGCTCGGCCCCTCTTTCTCCACCGCGTCTATTTCCATTATTCTTTCTGTCCAAAACTTCAGTAGCTCTGCTACCTCGTGGTTCTTGTGAGCGCCTCCAGTTTCTGAGTCTAAGAAGGGATTGTAGGCTATTCCCATCACTCCCGACACGTATTGGTATTCCCCCTTCTCGCTGAGTCTCGAGTACTGCTCTGACGAGGCCAGGTTACGGTGAACATCATGCTCTTCTTCGAACTTCTTATTATAAAACCTCCGTACCTCGTCTAGCTTTCTGTGGTTCTCTAGGGATAGTCTGGAACCATCTTCCTTTTCTATTCCTGTACTCTGATACACGTTCAAGATGATCGTTGAGACTCTTTTTTCCATGGTTTTACCTCCGCTTGCTCTCTGGTGGCATGCCAAGATGGTACTATCAGACATCATTGACATTATCCATCTCAAGAAACATGTGGCATCCTTCCTCCTAGCCAGGCTCAAGCCTGAATTGTCCCTGGCCACGTGTTGCATCAGTGCTTGATACACATCTAGCTTCTTGCTTCCCAACTTCAGCCTGTCATACGAGGTCAATGTCTCCAACTCTATTCCCACCAGACTCCAGGTGAACATCAATTGTCCTGCAGTTCTAACGAAGGGATTCGCCATCAATGGCGGTGCTGATGAGGGTGTCCTCATTGCCTCTTCAAAATGATCTTTCAACAAGTTCTGCCAGGACCTCTTCAGCTGATTCGCCATTTCTATTTTATTAACCTCGGCCTTTTGCTGGATGGCCCAATTGCGTCGCTTGCGAGCTACTCCACTGTCCAACTTCTTCAAGCAGTCCTCCATTTCCTTCAATGTCTCGAGGGCCACCCACCACGTCCGGGAGGTGTTCCTCGTCTTGTTCCTCTCCAATGGATCACTCGTCACTTGCTTGCCCGTGGCCTGGTGTGCCTTCGAGATCCATTCTTTGCCGACATCCACTTCCCATGTCTGTCAGTTCGTTGAACCTCTCTTTACGTTTATCTTCTGAGGCTTGAAGTCTTCCTCCGATGTCGAACTGGTGGAAGCCTCTATTTCCCTCTATACTTCGAGTGGTCTTCTGAGCTCCGAGCTGCTCTTGTATGCCGCCGTCTTGCATCGAGCCAAAACCATGGGCGCCGTCTCTCTCAAGTTTCCTTCCGAAACAGCATCCACTGAAGGACTACCCAATCCCTCCACTTCTCTCTTCCTCTTGCGAGTCTTCACATCTCTGCTTGAGGGTGTTGTGGCTATCATCACTGATTCGACCTCTCTGTCTACCTCCAATCCTTCCAGCTCTTGCCTCCCCCTGCTCGAGCCTTAAGGATATTAGTACTTTTAATCATATTACTAGTCCCAACCTTATCCCTTTTTGTATCATCAACTATTTTATCTACAGTTTTTTGTTTCAGAGTAGAGCTGTCCTCACATTTTTCTTCTCTAGTCTTCGATCGTGAATTCCTCAGCTCTACCAGCTTGCTCAGCAGCTCTTTTCTCGCCTTCTCATCCAGGCCCGTTCCTATCAGAAGCGGTTCTCCAAACCTTACGACTGTTTCCCACAGTTCCTCCTTGAATTTGTCCAGCGTCGTCTCGCTGCCCACTTCTTGATTGAATTCTTCCAAGAACTCCTGCCAAGCATCGTCCTTCAGGGACCACAGGAACATGTCCCTGTTCCCTTCGAAAGTGTTCTTTTCCCTTTCCTCCGAGCTCAAGAGTATCATCCCCATATTGGAGGTCTCACTT